TGGTTAAATTCAAATGCATAGAAGTTTGCAGAGCTTACAGGTTCCTTATCCTTGTCCTTGGGTTCTGCTTCCAATATGTTCTGCCCACATATCATTACTACTGGTCCAGTAAGTTTGTCAAACATCTCCTCTACCTTTTGGATAAACTCTCTGCGATTTGATTTTGGAACTGCTCTAGATAGCCACTGGGAACTGTCTGGAAAGTAGACAATTGCTGGCTGTAGAGATGGCAGAACCTAAATTCATAATCATGTAAGGCAGGTAAAAATTATTACATGGGGTTGGCCAACAACAAAATAGAAATGTTGGGGGTATGTAACACCAAAATTCAATACATCGTTTGATAAATCACCTCGCAAAGTGCTTCAATTGCGATATGCCAATCTTCTGACTCAGTATCATGGTCATGAACAATGTCCTGAGCTAAGCACAAGGAAACGAGATGAAGTCAAGGCGCCTGAAATTTCCAAATCAAATACTTGAACACAAAACTGTTCATGAAAAAGGATAGAAGCATACAATCAACCCAGTAAATGGATGCCTCAGTATTTTCCTCCTTGCTAGTTGCATCATTATCACCATCATGCAGCTTCTCTGCAAGAGGGTCGAATATGACTGCGACTTGATCCCCATTGATCTCATATACCTCTCCCCGTTGTCCCTTTGATAAAGTCCTGTAATTTTCAATGGTAGAAACATTACCCTTGTTTCACAAATTCATGGTAATGATAAGTTTACACAGAACAGTAAGAGAGTGTATAGCTTGGTTGCTTTAAGAAACTATGAAAAACACCACTTGAAATGAAGAGGATCAAAAAGACAAATGGAGAAACCAGTTCTCCTAAGCAACTGCAGCATAGGGTCTTTTGCTAATATATTTCAACTGATCGGATTTGCAAAAGTTCCAAAATATTCAAAATTACAGAGAGCAATGCCTCCCTGAGGTTTTAGATCTACCAAAACCATTTTTATCCTGTTTCACATGGGAAAGATATATCCACCCACCTGCCACTAATAAAGGTATAGGCATTTCTTGAGCCATCTTTAGTAGGTACTTTCCCTAAAATGATCCTGTATATGATACATATGGTACAAATCAGTGTTTGCATGAAGAACATCAACTTCAAACTACGGTAAAGAGTAGATAGTGGCGTAATTTCTAACATGTAGTAGAAATAACAAACAACCAGAAGTAAAGTTTGTTTTTCAAGTTTCACTAATACGAGTGGACAAAATATAATATACCATTGTGTGCGTGCGCAAGCTCAACATAAGTAAACTTACTGCTCACTTTCTTATACTAATCCACCCAAACCCACAAGACTAAACCACAAATCAACCCACCATGTTCTTGTGTGCACCACATGTAAAGACATGAAAATTACAAGCAGATGCATGTGGGCACCCACACCCTGTAGCATGCAATACATAATTATGTGCAGGCATGCACATCATAAACTTTGTAACTTCTAATAGGAACATGGAGCGTTTCCACTTAGAGACACCTAAATATGATTGCAAAACTTCAGAAATAAGGAGCCCTGTGTTGCTAGATGTTAAAATTTCTAAATCAGGAAAACTAAATAAATAGCTAAGGTTTTGGTGCCAAACTACGAAACAAGAAAGGTAATCCAAATCACTGCGGAATTGCTTATACTCGATGCAAGATCAAAGGTTGTCATGATGAAAAACTATAGAAAGAGCAAAAGAGCCAACATCTAATGATCACCTCTGATCTGCTTCAAAGGCTTCTGAGGATCCAACATACTTGACCCTATCTCCTGATAATAGGCATTGAAATAAGTAACTAGTTCCAATTTTTCCATTGAACCATAAGGTAGTTTGGAAGAGAGAATTTTAACTTGATTTAAAATAGAGTACTCAATGAAATACCATACCCCTTTGGTAAGGCCTTTTATCTTCCTCTGATGACTCAGGACTTTCAGATGATTCTGATGTTGTGCCTTCTTCTGCGCCAGCAACTCTCTAGAATCATAACCAAATGAAGAAGCATCATCAACAAGACATACAAGTGAAAGAAAACTCAGCATTCGGGGCAGATACTGGAAAACACTAATGCATTATTCTAGCTTAATTTTCTTCAAGTAAGAAAGGATAAAAGAACCAGCGCATAAGGTTATGATTCAGGTCCATGCTAGAATGACAACACAAATGTTTTTTAGTTGTTGGAAGAAACACACATTTTTAGTATAAAAAGTTATGTTTTTATCACGGGGTATTTTACTTATGTTATTGTATTACTTCCATGAGATTGTTTAACGTTGGAAACTTAGAATGACCTATTGTTTGCAGATATTGCAGGGAAAAGGACACCAATTGATGCCGCATGGTTTATATTGAATAAGAAAAATCATAGTTTCTAGAAAAACAGACAAAATTATGAAATATTTTGTGAGAAGAGAAATACAAAAACTTATTTCTCGTTATGGTTGGAATGTTGGATAGGCTAACAGAATATAACCTTGGCAAATTCCTCAAGAGTACATGGAACCAATTTTCTGAGGCGATCCACAGACTTCTTCAGTTCTTCCACAGATTTCAGAGCATCCTCATCGTCACTTTCATCGGTTTTAGCCTCACCATTGCTTGTCCAATCTTCATCACCTTCATCTTCAATATCAGATTCCTCGTCCTCTGACTCATCATGTTCATCCTCTTCGTCACTTTCTGAATAGTCATCCCCATAATCCTACAAGTTAGGAGTTACATTAAGTTTGCAACCACTCTTATATATTTGATAGGTATAAAGGTGCAGTATCTTACATATGGAGCTAGAACGCTGCTGTCCAGGACCAGCAGCGGCACCTGCAACTCGTGTGCGAGAGCTCTTACTAATCTCTCCCTGTAAAGCTCAGTTCCTGCATTAAATAGGTCTCAACACAAGCATTTGATAACACTTAGTATCTGCAGCATGTCCGCTCAATACCTGGTAAGCTCTGGAGCAATATCCTCCCCCCAGAGGATTGCAAACGAGAACCATACTCAGATGTGACACCATTGTGCCGCAGGTGGGACGCCGTACACTCCCTCAGCAGCCGCCTCGCATTCTCACTTGCGATCCAAAATTAAGTAAAAACGCAATTTCTCGTCGTTAGAAAACTGATGTGACTCACTCAAACAAAGTACCGAACAGGTGGTGCGCGCGTCATACTTGACGTAGTAAGGGAAATTCTGCCACGTGAGGTTCCCCTTCTCCCACGGCACGACGCGGCGCATGAACTCGTTGCGGAACCTCTCCCGTCTGGTGAGGAACGGCGACTCCCGCCGCTTGCAATCAGTGAGGAACCTCTCGCCGCTCAGCCACTCCTGCTGGTCCCTCTCCCCGAGCTTCGCGTGCTCCTGCTCGCTGCATCGCCCGCTGCTCCCCTCCGCCGCCGCGGCGCTCCTCGCCTCGGCGCTGCCCACGCCGCCCTTCGAGGAGCCGTAGAACCGGCACAGCCGCCGCCCCGCGCCCCACGGCCGCGGCGCCACGGCGGCGCCGAATCTCCTGGCGAAGCATCCCTCGCCGCCGCCTGCGCTGGCCGAGATGGCGAGGGAGACCGGCGGCCGCGTGAGGAGGCAGCGCAGCCGCATCGCGTAGTACATCTCGGGCGGCCTCGGGAGGGGGAATGGGATGGAATCCGCAGGGTTAGGAGGCCGTGGAGCCGGGCATGTGGTGAGGAGGAGGAGGAGGAGCGGATGGCGCGATGGGGAGATTGGAATCCGGCGTGCGACGAAGACGGTGGCGCAAGGCTGCGCTGTGACGGCGAGGAGGGAGACGGAGACGCCACGGCAATCTTCTTCGGTTCTTCCCCCGGCTCTCGGCCTCGGCTAATCCGCTTCTCACGCCGGGCCGCTCTTGCCTTGGGGAGTTGGGAGCTTCTGGTGTTGGGTCTCTACAATTTTGGGCCGAATTTGAAATGGGCTTCTGGTAAGTATCAGCAGTTCAGCCTGTATCATCTGTATTTGATAAAAGTCTATTTTAATTCCCTCCAAAAATTGACCTAATCCGATTCACATCTTTCAACAGCAAAAACCTGGTTTATCGCCTCTCGAAGTATTAAAACCAGTTTAAAATTTAAGAGTAGCTTGGCTGGCGTGACAGCCAAGTCATAAAAAAATAAAAAATAACGTGAGACACATGTAAGTGACTATAGTCTCATCTTTCTCTGAGATTTGCAGGCACTAACCCGCGCAAATAACTTTCAAGCCAGGTGAGCTCCACTTGATACAATGATGAAGCTGGAGCACAAATAAGAACCTCCCACCCCTCTCGTCGGGACATGCTTTCTCCTGCTCGTTGTATCTTCCGCTTCTTCGCAAGGCCACCATAAGACACTCGTCTTGCCGCCACCCATTCTCCTCTTCGAGAAGCTAGGGTAGCCGACACAGCTACCACTTAGCTTCCCACGGGCCGCGATGTACGTTGCTCCTTCCCCTTAAGTGGATTACTACTACTCCCTTCATCCTGAATAAATTCATTTTCACCCATACCACACATGCCATTAAAAAAAGTTTAAAATACCTTCACTTTATCGAATCCTAGTGCAATTATGCCCCTATCTACTTTAAATACATTTATTTATTACTTTCGCAAACTTCAATATAGTTATTACTAAGAATAACTTATTTTGAGGCAAAATGGGAACAGCTTAAAGAAAACTTAGTTTGTAACGAAGGGAGCAGCATTTTCTTCTCATTGCAGCAACGACAACGGGGTTAGAGGAAAACGACGGTGGCCTCGACAATGAGATTTGGTAATTTTTAACACCCCTTAAAAATAGGTTTCAATTATTTTGACACCCTGGCCCATCTTCATTCATTCAGATGGTCTCATATGTCATCCTCACAAGTGTCAATTTTAAAGTAACTAGTAATCATGCACGTGCAACGCACGTCTCCACAAATATGTAATCCGAATGCACGGTACTTTGTAATAGCCCAAGGAGAATCATAAAATATGCCTATGCATGAAATCAATGTCACATGAGACAAAAACAAAATATAAATAACTACATATACATTTCAAACTCATGAATCATGTATTATATAGAAATTAAAATGTCAATCTAGAAATATTGTCTAAGCCTACATCATATATTCATGTTTATTACAATAAACTCATCCCTTCTAAAGATATCACTTGAGGCTCCTGCATATTTTTAGGCATCGAATTTTTTATCCATACTTGTCAGTTGTCAAAAACCGTGTTTAGAATTTAAAGAGAAGATCATACAAATTTATACTATATTTTGAGACACTATTTGTGGCCTTGGAGCAAACAAACTTTGTGGCCATCATGCCATTTAGAATGGACTCTTCCAACCATGTTTCTGATATTTGAGGAGAGGTACACTGTTACAAGGCAGCCTCAATGTTAGCATGGTCAGAAGCTTGACAATACCTTTGAGAGACTTATGTAAATAAAAAAAACTACATTGATTATAGGAAATTGGTACAGGAAATAGAACTTAAAAAATGGCAAGGTATCAATAAATTAGCAAAAATAAAGAAAGATCACACTTGTTCAATAACATATATTATCAGATGACCCTTTAGAAAATCTAGGTCCTCCATTTTCCAGATTCAGTTAATCCCTCGAAATAAAACTTTTCCAGATTCAGTTAATCCCTCGAAATAAAACTGATAAGCACTTGTTTTAAGTATTATATCAGAAATACGCCAAAATATATTAATGACATGGTTTCACATACACATATATGTTGAGTTTACCTCCATCAGAATGTAGAAAGGAAAATGGCAACTCCCTGGCTGCTAGCACATCAAAGTTTCAATGGTGCATGAAGAAACATAAAGAAGAATCCATGTGTGTATGGTTATTTACAACAAATAATTCAGAAAATACACAACCTGCAGCATCCTCAAGAGGCATTGCACATAAAGCTATACAGGCTAGAATCTTTTTCAGAACATCATCTAACATGAGTAGGGATGTTAGAGTAACAATAATTTATAGTAATCAAATTTGAAAAAATTTTCTCATGCCTCATTACTAACCCACATGACCAACAGAAAAATAGAAATCCCATGCAAGTTGTGTTTGATAGTGTTACCTGTCTAAATCAGGTAGAGAGATCATGCACCGATTGTTGTTCCCTCCTTTGGTTAGATAGGAAACGGATATTAGAAAATAGAAATCCATGATAAAAAATACCGATGATAACTTTGTTTCACATCAACACTGATAGCACAATCTAACATATTAATAATTCCCTTTTATCTCAGTGTGATATATCCAAAGAAGAAAAGGCAGAGGATGTTGCATTGTGAATATTCATATATTATATATATTTCTAAAAAATCATGATGAAACTAAAACTATAACAAGAGGTCAATTCATCATGTATGTTCCCATGTCTAAAGCAATAGATTACCGCATTTTAAATCAGCATAACTAATATCATAATGCTCCACTAAAATTGTAATAATACTTCATTTAGCGGAGCTATAACATGTCAGTCATAGAAAAGCAAGAAGCAAACCTTGTCTAGAAGTAATCCAGTAAGCAAATAAATGTTGTGCCTCTCTACTGACACCTGAATATGTCGATCACTGCAGGCTGAAACATTGTCTATTGACTTAATAAAAATGTATACACTTCAAATATATCTCCTTAGTCACACCAATCTTACTAATTCCACTATGCACCAATATAACAATTCAGGTTTAGCAAGAAAAGACCAACATATTGTCTAATAATAATATGTACTATCTTAAGGTTTCATATGATTAGGTCAGTTTTTTATGTAGCCTAGAGCATTTCAAATGGAGAGGTCCCTCCTCTGTTTCTGTGATTGCAGCAAGAATTTCGTCATGGACCTTCAGAACAGCATATATATTGTAACATAACATTTGCACAATAGAAGTGCAAAGTATACATAACTGCAGAACTGCCGAATGCTACGATTAATGGTATGAAATACCCCAAAAAAAATGGGCCCACTGTTTTCTCTGAATATTTGCTTGATACTATTCTCTGAAGATATTTTTTCTTAGGATCTGGATACCTAGTTAGATATTCACATCTCAGAAATGCAGAAGCTAATCATCTCTCTTCTTATCCTCTACATGTATTAATTACATAAATATGATTAAAGAAAAACACATCATAAGGATTATGCAAATTTCAGTACATAAAAAGATAGCAATTGTTTAAAGAAAGTATCGCTATAACTCAAGATATGTCATTAGCCTACAGATTGATGTATCAGATGCATGGTAGCCGTCCATTTAGCTACTAATGAACGGTCAAATGTGAAGGTTACGGTACCGGATTCATCCATAAGTCTTCAACCCCTACCCCTGGCCTTAATTAATATCTGCACAACAAACCAAACTAACCAAAATAATAAATACCTGTTTATTTGCGTGATGCAGGTCGTTGGTGTCTTTCACAACCTGTTGGTCGGTCATTTCTTTCTCCTCGTTTCCCTTACCACAAGGAGTGCCAAACTGGGGAGCAGACTGGCCTGATGACAGTGTTGAGACAGAGGTGCCGCATTAGTTTGCAGGAATCAAAATGTTACTTCTAGAAGATCAATGATTTGTATCCAGTGCTCAAACTTAACTGCCAAAAATGCAAATGCTACAACACTCTCCTTTAAGCATACCTCCCAGTGCACGCCCAGTGCCATTGTTGAGCTGAGCTGCCGTCATCGCAACCGCTCTATTCAACTTTATACTCCCTGGGCCATGATGGCTGCAGAATTAAACAAAATTAAGCAAAATAGAAATCAACACACCTGCCGAGAATTCCTAATAAAACAATCAATCAATTAATATCATCCAACAACAAACAAGATCACCTCACAATAACAAGCTATCCAATATTCTTTTTCCTATTATAGGCTGTAAAACAACTATGTAAACTATGTAAACCTGTTTGTTCAGATGAGGAGTATGGCCCAATGAAAACCGAACTTGCTGCTCACTCCTATCTTGAGACCTATTTAGCATATGGATGGCTTCTCCACCTGATGACCTAAAAATATAGTAATAAAACCAAGGCAACAAAGAATTATACCAGATATGTATTAGGTAAAGATGATTAGCAAATAAATCCATAAGGATTTTTTAACCTGCTAGTAAAGAAGGACATGAAGCATAGGCGTGTGATGATGCCCATTGAACCGTGTGAGACGGCGGGTCGATGATGGCAGCAGCCCCGTTGGCGGAAGTGGCCGGATTCATGGCGCCAAAGATGACCAGATGGTCCAGATCTTCTTGGCCTCGGCAGCTATGGTGCCGGGCGTCGACAGTTGGGGGAAGAGCAAGCGCGGCGTAGGTGGCAATGTGGGCAAGCACCATGGGAAGACCCTCGTGGTAGCCATTGACGGAAGAGAGATCTGCAAGCATGTTCCCTGTCGACATCTCAGGCGCCACCGCCGATCCTCTCCCGCCACATGCTATCAAGGTCACTTTTGCGTGGATCGAACGCACCGCCGTCGCTGGTGTCCATCTCTACCTCCCGTATACACCGTCAGCTCAGCTTGTCCGCCTGATTTGGCTCGATAGCGGCGGCTTGATCCTCACTCGCGGGCGCTGTTGATGGGGATCGGCTGTAACCCTCCACCGAAGGCAGCCCCCGCCCCTCCACCATGAGCCCGAGAAGGCATGGAGGGATTGGCGATGGCGAGGCCGCGAGGGCAGCGGCTAGGGAGGGGATGGAGTCACGGGCGAAGAGAGAGAGAGAGAGGGGCGAGCGGCGAAGGTGGAGGACGGAGATTCGTACGGGTCCGAGTGGGAGAAGAACGATACGGCGGCGGCTCCGGCGAGGACGCGGCGTAGCGCCGGCAGCGGGACGGAGGAGAAGCCCGTGAGGAGGACAGCCGCGGCGGTGGGGAAGAAGAAGGACGGCCGCGGGCTGAGGTCGATGTCGGTTCCGGCGGCGGAGAAGGGGCCAAAGTCGGCTCCGTCGGCTGATCCGAGTGGGAGAAGCACGATCTGGGAAGAAGGAGGTGGGGAAGAGCGGGGCGCAGCGGTGGGGAAGAAGGAGGACGGCCGCGGCGGCTCCGGCTATGGCGCGGCGTAGCGGCGGCAGCGGGGAGCAGGAGGAGCGAGCGAGGAGGACGGCCGCGGCGGCAGCGGGGAGTCGCTCCTGCGAGGACGCTGGGAGGAGTGAGCGAGGAAGAGAAGCGCGCGGTCTCCGCGGCTGCGGGTGGAGGAGGAGCGATGTCTTCGCGCGTGGAATCCTCGGCTGTGAAATCGTGCGGTGGAGGAAGAGAAGCGCGCGGATGGACGGTCCAGATTAGTCCGGATGATTTGGCTTGTAGCATTGGAGGGGACAACTCCTCCTTTTTATATTAGTATATAGATTGGACAACGAAAAATTGTTAAATTATCAATTTTTTCCTCGACAATACGGCCTTTGTCCTCTCGGCCTTTTCAAGATTAACGGGCCCACACTGGGACCTCTCGGCCCTGTAAATCTACTAATGCAATAACAAGCCCAATAAATAGCAAACAGTGTTTTCATGGGTCCAGTACTCCAGTCTATGTCCATCCCAGGCAGGCACCGTCTCGTCTCGTTTCGTCGTCCATTGGTCCATGGCCAACACGGCAACACCATCATCCTCCTGCGTGAGATTCTCGGCACGAACAGACCACGTCGTCGGCGACACCGTACGTGACCCACCACCGACATGGCGACATCGACGCCGAACTGTGCCCGGGGAGGCCCAGAAAGTGATAGGAAGGCACACTAGCTTCTCCGGACATGTACAGTATAACACATTACACATCACTAGCTTTTTCAGATAATTGAACGCATCACCAGCTTAGATGGTGATACCGATCCGACGAGCCGGCAAAGACGGCCTCGGAATCGATACCATGAGTGCAGCAGCAGCCATGGACTGATGAGCCTTAGATTAACCGGGATGGCTGGAAAGAACGGAAGCGATGAGCTGTAGCGGCAAGTGGTCGCCCACGAGCTTCGGTCCGGTTGCACTCGATCTCGGTTCACTTTAGGCGTCGACCTTTGCATCCTCATCATCATCAGCCTTTTCCCTTTTCCTGATTCAGCAGGCAAGCAGCTAACTGAAAGGCGGTGTGTGTCATTCAATTCGTCCGGATTAGCTAAGGGCGAACATGACAGCTTTGATCCATGATGGATGAGAGACATCCCCGCGACTAGCCGGGCCGAGTTGCCGGATTCAGGCTTCCAGCATTGATAACATGTGCTCGTTTAATGATCTGCTGCAAAGCAGTACTCCCTCCGTCCCAAAAAAAAATAAACCCTGTTTCCGTGTTCAACATTTGACCGTTCGTCTTATTTAAAAAAATATGAAAAAAATTAAAAAGATAAGTAACGCATAAAGTATTAATTATGTTTTATCATCTAACAACAATGAAAATACTAATTATAAAAAAAATTCATATAAGACGGATAGTCAAACGTTGACACGGAAATTCAGGGTTTGACTTTTTTTTTAACGGAGGGAGTACATAGCTCCATTGTTCATTCATTCCTTGGAGAGTTGGAGCTGCGATAGACCTTGCAAAATCTACCTAATATAATACTGGAAATCAATCAACCAACAAAAAGGAAAAACCGTAATTTAATCAACTGTCAGTGACAAACAGCTTCGTACTACTGGTGTAGATGCTACTTCCACTGCACTAAACAGCAGTGTGAGTTCAGCATCTGCCGGGATAGAGAAAATTGACATTTAGCCACTTTTAAGGATGGGTTTCGCTGTAATGCCATTCCGCCAAGTTGCTTCGCTAAAATGCCATCCCCACGCTCGCGCAACACGCTGCTTCGTCGTTTTTCCAATTTCACCGGTTAAGCCCGTAAGTGAGTTGTCTGCTGACCAAATTGCCCCTGGGGTCGTTTTGCGCCAAATGAAGCAGCAAGCGCCGTCCTAATCCAGCGCTCTCTCCAGCGCCGCCACGCTGTCGCTCTACTCCGTCGCCGATCTGCCGATCTACTCCGCCGCCGTGTTGTGCCGCTTTGCTCCACCGCCGCCACTCTACTCTGCCGCCGTCGCCGTGCAGTACAATCCATCGACTCCACCTTGTTCCTATCTCATGTCAGGGACGACGGCATCCGGAGACTGTCCTCGGCGTCAGCGAGAGGGGGGACTGCGGCAAAGGCGGCGGCGATGGGTGGAATGGCGATGGCAGCGCCGCCGTGAGCTACAGCTGGGTGAGGGCGAGAGGTGATTGCGGCGGCGGGTGGAATGGCGATGCCGACGAGATCGATCTAGGGCGCCACAATGAGCAAGAGCTGACGCATCTCGATCCCCTTTCTCTCACTCTCAATCCCCTTTGTCTCACTGACCTAAAGAATGACCAAGGGCACATTGGTCACAACACTCGTGATTTTGTGTGTTAATCCAATGAAATTGAAAAAACGGCGAAGCAGCGTGTTGCGCGAGCGTGGGAATGGCATTTTAGCAAAGTAACTTGGCGGAATGGCATTACAGCGCAGCCCATCCTTGAAAGTGGCTAAATGTCAATTTTCTTGCCGGGATAGGACCCCAATCTTCAGTGTTTACCCCCGTCCCGTTTCGGTGGTCCAACTGTGCTAGCAACAATCCCGATCCCCTGTCCCGATCAGCTCCAATTCGGTAGATTAGGCATATCTGTCATGCGTCCGTTCCGGATCCACCCTGTTTCGGACCAGGGAGTAAAAAATTCGACCTCGGTCTCATCAGGAGGACTTGGCAACACGCAGTCACGCTCACGCACAGCAATACTCCTTTTTGTAGCTGGGAAGTGCAGTGCACTACGCAAAAACAAAAGGCTAGCAGGAATCGGACAAACCACCGACTACTAGGAAAGCAGGAAGAAGCCGAGCTGGTAGATGGATGGATGGACGCCTGGGCAGGTGAGTGCTCGAGCGACATGCCAACCACGCGCCAAGCAAGACTACCACTCTCCTCTTCTCAGTTCTCATCTGGAAGGGAACGGAGGAAACCGGTGCTCGCTCACGTCCACCACCTGACCTCGCCTGTCGGCAGAGTAGTCACCGATCACCACCAACCGACGCATCATACTACTAAAAAAACATACTACTCAAATACTCCTTTGCCCGGAAAAGGCTTGGAAATATTCAAATCCCTCTTGCGCTGGTCTAACCCAGACTGGCTCCGATCGTGCAGAGCCGTTCAAAGATTCAAATGTTGTGGGAAGCGAGGAGCGTGTTACGAGTAGTAGACGAGAACGACGTGCCGGTGTTAGACTGTGTAAAAGCTTTGGCCGGGTCCGGCTCAAACTTTCTGACGCCGGCTCGCTCTCGTTCCAAACGTCAAACGACGCGCAGGCGCAAGCGGAGGATGGATTCTATTCTCTCGGGTGGACGTCCACCCGTTTCTTGCATACCAACTAAATAATTATAAAAAAAATTTAAAAAAAAATTACAAGATATGTTAATATGTAATATATCACTTCACAAACATGCAAGTTCAAATTCGTCTTCTACAAGTTGTACGTATATTCACAGTCAAATTTGTTATCTTTGTTATAATTTATAGAAGTTGAATTTGAACTTGCATGTTTGTGAAGTGATATATTACATATTAACCTATCATGTTAATTTTTTTGAAAATTTTTCATAACTATTTAGATGACATGCAAAAAACGGGTGGACATCCACCCGAGTGTTTAAAACAGTTTTCCGGCGCAAGCGCGGTGTTTTCTTATCGAAGAAGAGTACAAAAGTGAGACACATGTGTATTACTCTGCGGTACAGGAGGAGCAACGGCGACGGGTGATCCCCCGCCGCAACGCATCGCTCGTCGCTGCACTCTCCCGCTGTGCCGAATTCAAGTTCAGGAACGCGGCGATCTGCAGTTCAAGGTTGAAACGCGACCGCCGCATGTTTGTAGCAGGTTTTAATGCTACGCGATCTCAAGTTCTCAACGTCACAGAGTAGTACTATACGTGATACTAGTACGGCAGAACACCCAAGAAAATTTCCTGAATTCGGGTGCAACATCATCGCCGATTCACGTCAACCCACGAGTATTAAATCATCGACGGCCCTTGAGAAATCACGCCATTCCGGCACCATTCCGGCACCGCGCTGACATGACAGTGCACCAAACTGATCACACTGAATTGACGAGCTCAGCGCGCTGCTGCCTGCTGACGAGTGACAATGAACGAACACTGGAATAGCTCCAAACACTCTGCTCCAAATAAAAACGACCCAAACCTCTACGCAGGGGTGCGCACCCGCTAATCCAAAGGCCTGATCGCTCGATAACCGACGTGGATAAATGGATAATCCCGTCACCAGCCTGGCTAACGCCATGTTTGATTCAGCTTAGAATTATTATAATCTGGATTATTAGGAGTAAGTTGAAACAAACAAATAGATTATTATGCTAGATTATTATAATCTATAAGCCAGATTAGTATAATCTAGTAATCTTCTCTAGAGGAGCTTTTTATGGATTATTGAGTGGCTAAAGACCCACTACTATTAGATATCTCTAATAATCCAGAGAAACAAACAACTTACAGCTTATTATAATTCAGTTTAGAGTAATTTAATTTAATAATCTAGATTACAATAATCTTAAACTGAAATCAACATGGCCTAAATGACGTGGAATTGTGAGCGGGCAATCATTCCATCCACCTTGAGGCGTTCGTCCGGGAACTCCACGCTCCACGGAGGCCACGCCCCCGACCAGAAACGCGCGAGTTAATACGCACATTTACGCGCGAGAACCGGTGCGTGCCCGTGACCCGAAACGCTCCTCGCTCGCTTTCTCCCCCCCGCGGCTTAAAGCGTTTCCCTTTCCCTGCTCGCACGCACGCACCTAGCTACCTCGCCGGCCTCGCCATCAGATCTCGCCCACCGCCGCCTCCCCCAACTGTCTTTGTACCTCGCCGTCGAGCTCCCATCGCGGTGGCCCACCTCCCGCGCGTGCATTTGCTCCGGCCTTGCAGGGACATCGACCTCTCCTCTCCGCGTCGGGGCGTGATGGTCCAGTGATCCAAGGAGTCGTTCCTCTGCCGGTGAGTGGTGCGTTCGGGTTGTATTGGTGGCAGTGCGGGAGATTTTTGGTTGGTTGTTTGGTGGAGGGATCGGGGATGGGCTGCACGGGGTCCAGGCACGCGTTCCGGGGTGGCGTCCGGGGCGGCAAGACGGCGTACGCGCGGAGCCGCTCCGGTCCGGCCGCCGTGCACCACACCGTCTCGCTCAAGTCCTCCACACTGGGTTCGCTCAGCCTCGAGCGGGACCGGGACGAGGAGATGATGAAATGGCGCGACGACGGCGGCGCGGCGAAGACCACGCCGCCGCCACAGCAGATGGCGAGGCGGCAGAGGCAATTGGTGCTGGCCACCACGGCGCCGGCCAAGACGCCGGCCCGCGAGCCGGAGGTGATAAATGTGTGGGAGCTCATGGAAGGCCTGGACGACAAGGATGAGGAGGGCGACGTCCGCGGCGAGGAGCGACGGGGGCAGTCGACGCCCGGGTCACCGGAGTTCGATCCAGACATCATCGCCGCTTTCCGGAAGGCGCTCGACGAGGTTCCCGCTGCCGGCGAATGCCCTGGCGACGAGGTGTGCGTCAAGAAGCGCGAGATACAGAGGTTTCCGGGCATCGTGCGCGAGCGGGTCAGCGCGTTCCAGAAGAGGATCGACGCGAAGCTCGCCAAGATGGCGCCTCCGCCACCGTCACCGTCACCGCCTCCGGAGCCAGAGCCGCAGCTTCCACCGCCGCCGCCTGATAGCGACCGGAAAGTGGTGCTGTACCTCACCAGCCTCCGCGGCATCCGCAAGACGTACGAGGACTGCTGGGCGACGAAGTCCATCCTACAAGGCTACGGCGTGCTCGTCGACGAGCGCGACCTGTCGATGCACGCCGGGTTCAAGGAGGAGCTCCACGCCGCGCTGGGCGCGCCGGGCAGCCTCCCGCAGGTGTTCGCGGACGGCAGGCACCTGGGTGGCGCCGAGGAGGTCCGCCGCATGCACGAGTCCGGGGAGCTGTCCAAGGCGCTGGGCGACTGCGAGATGGCGCCGCCGGCCGCCGCGGGCAAGGGCATTGCGCTGGACGCGTGCTCCGGCTGCGGCGGCGTCCGGTTCGTGCCGTGCGAGGAGTGCTCCGGCAGCTGCAAGGTGTTCCTCGAGGAGCTGGACACCTTCCGGCGCTGCCCCGACTGCAACGAGAATGGGCTCGTGCGCTGCCCGCTTTGCTGAAAATCTCGAGCTTTTTTGCGGGATCTGTAGTGTGATTTTGTGAGATGCTTGAGGGTGTTGTGTTAGCGTAGAACGTGTACAGGGGAATTACACGACTGTTTCATACTAGGACTGATGAAGTAACAATATTGGTTGCTGTAATGATCTTATTTATGCTTTCTTCTACGGTGCTGGGTGTGTAGAAGAATTGAAGAAACGACTTCGTTCTGAAGAACAAGAATGGTTATCACTCTTTGTTCTCAACATCGTCTCAGCCTCTAACGTTTTCAATTCTGCATTTTTCTGCAGCGTATTGCATGACTTCGTCCATTACTTGCTCTGCGCCGAACTGAACCATGAGTATGAGTCCGGATGGCAGCAACCCTGGTACAGTAGTACTCTGAATCTATGCTACTCTCTCCGTCCCAAAATAAGTGCAGTTTTACACTATTCATCTTCAACATTTGACCGTTCGTCTTTTATGAAAAAAATTTTATGATTACTATTTTTATTGTTATTAGATGATAAAATATGAATAGTACTTTATGTGTGACTATTTTAAAAAAAAATTCATAAATTTTTTAAATAAGACGGATGGTCAAACGTTGGACACGGATTTCCACGGCTGCACTTATTTTGGGACGGAGATATTATTGGATTAAGTGTAGTGAATTGTACTGCTCGAGAGTCAATATGTACCCGTACATGTACTGCACATAGTACATAGTGCATCTTGACCCGTACATGAGGCATGTCCTCTGTTTCCACCATGCCCTGAGGAATCAATCAGACAATTAAGGTTCTGTTGAGACTGTGATGTGCCATCTGAACTAGGGAAATGCGTGAACCCGACGAGGAGGACTTGCAGCGTGCAAAGCAGGCGACCCACCGATCAAATCATCACACGCAGAGGCACGCCAACTCGGCTTGCTACTGAATCGGAAGAGCATCTGCTCGAGAGTTTTACCGGATATGGAGCGGCGTCGACATCGACGTTTCCATGAGCGAGCTGCGAGCGTGTGCCGGGAGGAGTAGCTAGGCGGGGGACTCGACAGTGACCGGGGGTTGGCGTTGGCGTCGCGGCCATGCTTGGTTCGGTGGTGTCACGAGGTTTTTTCCCGGAAAAGCGTATGGATGGATGAACCCGATCTGCCAATGGTCTCCACAGGCCCCCTCCTACCAGTACCATCCCGTCCATCCGTGCTTCTTTTCCTGAGTTTTGGCCCACGATCGACCAGGTACCATGTGCCAAAGCAACTGACGATCTAGGAACATGTGCTACATTCAAGTAACTACCAGTAAGAATTTTAAGTTCGTCACGCAGGATTTTCAGAAGAGATCAAGATAGTTTGAGCGTTCCAAGCCCCGGGTAAACATTATAATGACTCCTTGGAGAGCAAAAGGGCCTCTTTTACATCAAAAAATTCCCCTTGGCAATTGTCTAATTTGCATTTTGCATGCCATCGACGAGTGAAACTGTGAAAGTTCCAGTAAATGCTAATGTACATGTCATTTTATCCCCTTATTCTATCGTCATCATGGTTCTACCGATTCTACTCCACTAGCCCAATTCCTCATGTGATGTAGCAGAAATAGTATTGATTGTCCACATTTATACATTGATAATCGGAAGAAAAATGAGTATCAATGTACTCTTGAAAATTTTGCTTGACAATTATGTGAACATTATGACGAAATTGCTCTTAAACAAATGCGTGTTAATATTGTTTGGAAATTACTATTGACAAATTCCCACAACAAGATTGCCCCCCCCCCCCCCCCCAAAAAAAAGATAACATTTTATAGATAATCACCATGAGGAAATTGATTGCCATGCCGTATTTTAAGACAAAATAGCTTATACAATGGTATTACCTGAAACCTGCATATGGCAAAACGTAAATTTAATTACCCGCAAAAAAACGTAAATTTAATCGCTCGTCAATGGAAAATTTAAACGAGAAACGTCTAAGGGTTTTCCGCTTTCCGGCTAGCTCCACAAGGTGATGGGCTAGACAACCTGGGTTCGAAACCTCACTCCTAATTATTTGATATTAGGTCCATCCCTAATATTCGTGATTTTTTTTTCAATGGAAAATCTGAACACAAAGGAGATGACTCCTGCTGCATGTATAATGTTTTTTCGACGAGGAATTTTACAATCCTTGAGAAAGTATCTTGAGGTACCTAAATTTTATACTAAAATTTTTTATACCTTATACCTTAAGATACATAGTATTAGTACTAGAGGTACCATATTTTCTACTTTATAAAGGATGGTAAACTTACCCTTTTTTTGATTGGGGAATGATTGAAAGGCAACAGGAGAAGGTTTTTCTGTAAGTTTCTTGGGGGTCTGCTTTTGTTGGGCCCATGACCGATATTTGGGCCTATTCGACGCTAAAATGGCTGGCCCATAAAGCCTTTTATTTAGGTCAGCTGTTGTGCGGTGTGTGCAACACACGGCACAAAGGAATAAGTTTATTACTACTCCCTAATCTCTTGCTCTTGATTGAAGCACATCCCTCGACCACAAAACCCGGTGTAACGCATCCCCTATCTTCTAAAACCGGTGCAAATAAACTCCTTCTATGGTTTGAAAAGTGGTTTTTGCATGTAGGGCCCACATGTCTGTGAGATATGAAAAACCATATTACAGTGGGCCCTACATGTCAGTGAAACATGGAAAAAACATGTATGACTTTCCACCTTTCATGAGGCCAGTGAGCTCCTTCCCACGTGCGCGGCGCGGCCGGTGACCCCTCCTCTTGCACGCGCTGCAACCGGCAACCCCTCCCCTGGACTCGCCATGGTTGTCGACCCCTCCCCCCGCGCACTCGACTGGCTGGGGACCCCCTCCCCCTTGTGCATGTCGCGGCTGGTGAGCTCCTCCCCACGAGAACAACTAGCTGGCAAAAGTGGCAACACCTCCCCCCCCCACCCACGGCCCCCGCACAGCATGGCCGACGAGCTCCTCCCTGCATTCTGATGTGAGGTGAGAGAGGAGGAAGAGGAAAGACAGAGGGGAGAGGATAGGATGGAGTAGATCATTGACAGGTGGGGTCCACAGTTGAGTTAGCCAGTCAACTAGGTCAAAGCTACCACGTCAGATAAAACCACCTTCCAAACCACCTAAGGAGGCAATTTACACCGATTTTTAAATAAAAGGATGCGTTATATCCAGTTTTGTAGTTGAGGGATGCGATTCAGCTAGGAGCAAGAGTTGCAGGACGCAAAATAGACTTATCACGGCACAAACGACGTCAAAAAGCCTAAGCTATAGCCCATAGATGTCATCATCCAGGGACAGCCTGTAAGTTCCATTATTCCTTCCGTGACAGCCCAGCGGAAAAAGGTTTTCAGTTCCAAACGCCATATAGCCCATTAAGTTCGTCCTCGCACTCTTCTATCTAATTATTCGCAGTTTGCACAATGCATCACCTAAGATAAAACAGTCCCTGTAAACTAACTATCTCCATCTGAAATATATGAATCTTAATTGAACTTATTTGAAAATGAATATATTCCAAAATGCTGTCAATACCAAGTGCAAAATAGACAGGGCCATATTACTATCAGACTTTCAGGTGACTTGCGTGTTCTAATTTCTTGGGCGAGGGGAAATTATTGTTAGTGCGGAAACTTGAAACCCAGAGGCGATGTTCCCATGGAAATCACTCTAGGTTCCACAATTCTATGGGCCTAAGGGATCAATGACGAGGGAACGTAACACCAACCAATGGGCCGGCTCGTACCTCTTTGCCCATCTCATTGTCAGGCACAGGGAGCAATCAACTTTTGCCATGCAGCGGCGTTGGCTACGTGATAGCGCTGGCGCAGAGAGATGGTTGTGGGAGTGGGAGTGGGAGTAATCATATGTCGTGAACTCGTGATGGCAAAACGTCTGCTGTAATCATTTTAGCCATGCATGCAATTCGCTGGAAGACAGAGAATACTGCTAGTTGCTGTACTACTACTCCTGCTAAGTGACATATATAACAGCCAAAGTACTCACGTGGGATCAAACAACAGGGGGATTAATTACTAGTACACAAGTACAAAATGAACACATCTACCGTGACATGCCATTGGTTAACTAAACACGGGCCCCTCTTTTTTAACATAAAGAAAACTCGTGAATTCATCTACAAGGTACAGGTGCTGAGTTTTCAAATAAAAGGGGGCCCTGGTTAGATAGCTGTTCAATGCTCTTTCCTTCGGGAAAATAAGCTAACACGTGTAAAGCCATCACCTGGATCGTCTCTATTATGGCTGTCACCCTCAGCTCTGGAGTTTGTGGAGCGTTAACTGCCCCCAACGCCTTTCTCGCTTTTTTTTTTTCATTCCAACAAGATTCACTCTCTCATACAGCCGCGTCGTTAGTGGCCCTGTTGCATGGATGGCTCATTGGTGATCTCGCATGTACGTGCGCGAGACGGCGAGGGAACCTTTGGAGCAAACAAAAGGACAAGAGGAGTTAGTAGTTGTCCATGTCCAAACCCAATCACGGCGAGACGCGAGGGGGAGAGAGAGAGAGATCGAAAGGGCCAAAAGAGAGAAAAAAAAATTGCTGGAGATGGCCGGTATTGGGCAGGTTCGGGCGTCGCTCGCTGTCATGAAAACGATTTGGGGGCTGTACGAGCAGAAGAAGAAGCGATCGATCGATCGAGGGATTCACTTTGCTTAAACAGCCAACCAACCGATCGAGTGCGCGCCGCCGCCGCTTTTCCCTGATCTTCTATGTTTCGCGATCGCGGAACGTACGCCTTTCAGTTTCCACGGTCGCGCGCAGACAATCATACTACAGCGACCGCGAAGAAAGTAGTACGTACCTTTCCTGCCACTGTTCGATCGTGAAGAATCAATAATGGCCACACCAACGTGGGAGCGTACGTACGTACGCGCAGGAATACAGAATCGAAACGTGGCACAGTGTGTGTACACTGTACGTACAGTGATCCAACGGTGCATGCACGCATGCGTACGGCCGGCCGGATATATATCCATCTAATTCCACCTAGCTCGACCATCACGTAAGAGAAACCTGTGGTTTAATTGGCGATCGGGAGTAACCGCGTAGGCGTGGCGGCGCGCGCATGGGCTAACAACCACGCGGCCGAGCAGCAGATGGGTGACGCTGACCGGCCGGTGGTACGTACATGCCAAGTGCGAACCGAGTCTCGGCGCGCCGTTCTCTCCCGTAAACGCGCCGCTCAATTTTCCGTGGTGCGCGCGCGAGAGAGAAAGGGACGCGTTTGTATCTTTGCGCGCGCGCGACCCGTACGTACCCATCTCTCCGTCCACCCTGTTCCGTTCGTGGTTGTTGAACGGAACGGTTAACTTGCCGTATCGGGATAGAGAGCCCCCCAAGCCTGTGTGGCCATGCGCGTTGGTTTGGTTTCACGATATGATGATACGTAGTAGTACGCGCGTGGTACGTTTACCGGGGCTTGTGGAGACTGGTCACCCACACACGTTAGCACTTACGTCGGCCGTCATGGCACGTCTCATGCGAGAGCGAGCCGCGCCGTTCGCGCTTGGCCGACTTAGGCGCGCGTACGCAGACGGCTCGTCCTTGTCATCTTCCGCGATCGTCGCGCTGGCGACACCCGTCGTCGTCGTCGTCGCGGCTGAACCGGTCGTCATTTATACAGCCGGAGCGGCCGGCAAACTGGCAAATGTACAGTACAGCGATTCACCAGTTGTCGATCGGGGCGAGCTAGCTAGCACGCGTACGTACGTCGTCGACGACCGGAAACGACGTACGTTGCCATCCATCCATCCATCACCATGTGGGCGACGGCCGCCGTTCGTGCCCAAATTAGAAACGTGCGGGGACGTGGGTACGCGTCGGAGTCGCGCGCGCGCGGGGGAGGAGGACGGGGAAAAATCGGTCGACGACATTGGTGCCAAAACTGCCACGTCGCTGGTGGTGATGAGACTGTTTGTCCTACTTGAGATGCGCCCAGCTAATAATCTCTTCCTGCTCGATAGGATTATTCTATCACGCGGAAGGGATCGAACGGCTGAGACGTGCAAACTCCCTGTGTTGACTTTTGACTTTTGTGCGTGTTAGCTCGCACGTAAGTATCGGGGGTCATAATGACTTATAGGCTATAGCTAATCCACCGCTTCATCCGTTTCATATTACAACGCACTTTAATTTCTTTTAAAGTAAAACTTTAAATTTAACTTAGTTTATAAATAAAATTAACAATATCCATAACACCAAATTAATTTTACTAAATTCAAAATATATTTTGATAGTATGTTTTTAAAAATATTGATTAGATGTGCATCATTATAAGAGAAAGTTTAATAGTATAGCCCACTACTAGCTCCAAATCATCTATAGCCAATATAATAGCCAATTCATACAATAGTTGCTTACTATACTATTAATACCTGGTCCCACCTATCATACACACATTACGTCTTGGAGTCCGTGATGCAGCTGGCTACAGATCTGTAGCCCGATGCTCTTCTCTCTCTTCTTTTATCTCTTTAAAATATGTTTATAGCTGGCTTATAGCCTGCTATTGTACCTGCTCTAGATGACTCGTAATATGAAACAGAGGGAGTGCTAATACCCATGCAAAAAAAAAACTACTAATGCACATTAGAAATTGGAAAATGTTCTTATAACACACTCTGACACTACTCCATCCATCACAAAATAACTTTAACTACGTGGTGCAAAATTAAATAAGGTGACGGAGAAATACCAATGTGATCCTCATTAATAAAAAAAACAATATTAATGAGTGGTATATAAGAGGTGGGTAAGAGCGAGTACAATAAGCGGGTTGTACAAGTTGTCACATCACGTTTATATTTATGTGGAGGAGAGAGAAAAAACTCGGCCTACAAATTTATAACTAACTATAGCACGGGTTCCAATAAACTATGCAAGCGAGATGTGTAAATTATGTATAAATAATGTAGTACATATCTACAACTAACTATTGTATGAGTTAGGTTGGCTACAGATGATGTTTCAATTTTTAAGCTAATAGTTGGATATATTATTGTATTAAACTTGCTCTAAGGGGTATTGAAAAATAAAATTTATTAATTTACGGACTAACGATAATGACAGATAAGAGCATATAAAAAAACTTATTTTAGAACTAGAAAAAATGCATGTGCGTTGCAACGGGTGAAGGCTATTTTAATTGTATTATTGTTAATTTTTTTTCTAAAAAGTATATATGGGATTTTTATTTTGATAGTATTGATATCTAATTCGGAATCCTTATTATGATATGATCCTTATTGGGATGATGATCGTATTCTATACGTTGCTTTTATGGTCTAGCGAGAATTATATAGCAATTAGGAGTCCGCCTTTCGTCCGAAGTTAGCATGCGAGGTTTTTAAAAGGATTTCTTATATGACTCTTTATGTATTTCCAAAAACGAACGAACTTAAAAACAAACACAAATAAAGACGACGTACCAAAGTATTGACGAAAACATCTTCAATTTTTATAATAATAGTAGAGATAACTAAGAGGTTAAAACTGAAGCTATTTTTTGGATGAAGGGATTACTATATAGACAAAATTTGCTATAGGACACTAAGAGTTTATGGCATTTGTTGTGAGACACCGCAAACATGTAGTAATTAGCTGATGAACACCCTTCGCATAATTTTATTATATCCAGTCAAGATGGAGAGAGAAACTTAAATAAAAGGCAAGTTTGCCCTTGGGCCAATGTTGTTTAACCCGTCCGAGACACGTTCGAAGCAGGCCAATTGCCCGTTCAGTTTCACAATCCCCTCTCCTCCAAACCCTAGGTTTAGGTGTGTCGACGACAGTGTGGCATATGTCCCACGGCGAGCGGCTCGTGGCACAAGCGGACGATGGCCCCCGTGGCAGCGATGGAGACGAGTGGGTCGTCCTTCCTATCGGTCGCCCACGAGTGGGTAGAAAAGGCGGCGCTATAGACGCCAAGGCGGGCCCAGCAGGTGGCGACACGGGAACGCCGTCATGGATGGCGCCGGCAAAGTGGCAGCCGCACGGGGAGTCACAGAAGGCCCCTAAACAAGTGGTGAACGTGCCGCCGACGGCGCCGACCATGAAGCCCACGCCAGCGTCAAGACCCCGTGTCGCCTTCGCACCGTCATCGTTGCCCCAAAACCTAGGGTTCGAGCAAAGAGGATCAAGTGCGTGGGGAGTGAACTGGGTCTAGTTGGAACCAGTGGTAGTCGTCTTTACAAGCCAAAACAACCTAGGGGCAAAATGGTACTTTCAACGCTCTTTCTCTCCATATTGACCGGATATAATAAAATAATCCAGGGGTGTCTAATAGCTAATTACCATATTTTACAATGTCCACGAAAAAATACACGTTCTTTAGGTGGTCTCGTATTAAAGTCCACATACTTTTAGTGTCCTGTAACAAATTTGACATACTATATATTTGACTAGTGAGCCTAACGACTTCTTTTTTAATCCGCTACTGTAATGAGCTACTGCGTCCAGTTCGATCTGGTCGTGAATACTTTGAGTCGTGATCGAATTGTTTACTCTTTGACTAAAATAAAGTATCAACATAAAGATATGAATATCTTGTAATTGGTACAACGTTTATGACTTTGTATATATCAATAGAAAAAAACTAAATGACAGCAAGTCATTACTCTTTCTAATGAGGGAAGCAGTTCTGATATTGGTGAGACCGTGGGGACATAAAACATGGTAGTTTCTGAAATTTAATTCTTACCATTAAGTTTCTGTAATTTAGTACTCCCTCCGTACTTATAAAAAAAGTCGTTTAGGGCAATGTTTAAGTCAAAACTTAGAAATATAAATCATGAATAACTCTCAAGTTGTCGAGTTTGAAAATATAAAAATTATATAAATAGATTTGTCTTGAAAAATACTTTCATAAAAGTATACATATATCACTTTTCAATAAATATTTTTATAGAAATAAGAAGTCAAAGTTGTGCTTTGGAGACCGTGTCGCTGTCCTAACGACTTTCGTAAAGTACGGAGGGAGTATTCACAAATATATATTTTTTGCGACTACATGGATGGAGGACTAACATGTAAACCATCAATGCTCTGCTATAAGATCCATAATCTTTTCAAAAGCAGGTACACCCAACTTGCAATCTGAAGAAAACTTCAAAAATTTGCCAGTAGAATCATACCTTTTGACCTATCAGTCTCTACAAGCCAAACTCTACCCTTTGACCCTGAGGTAATTTTTCTTCCCTTTGACCCAAAACTCAGCCCAATTAATCCACGCTGTTTACCTTTCTTATGCTGTATTTTTCTATGAATCAATATCTAAAAGTCAAAATTGACAATTGGCAAACGCAACTTAAAAAAGTGAGGTAGACCTAACGAATTCTCCTCCAATCATACATTGAAGATCACACGGTCAAATAAAAAACAAATCCACATCAAATTCGCCTCTCTTTTGTATATATGGTACGTTTTCCTTCAATGACACGGTCAACTTGTCCGGCCGGCGTGAGCGTTGGCTAGTAGCTATATTTAATTTGCGTGAAAGGAGATAAGAGTCCTCTAATTTAATCGCACCAACTGTAATCTTCTAGGTTTATTCTATCGAACAAGTAAAATCTGTTAGCTGCACGTCTATGCTGACAAATCACCACCTCAACATCTAACGAGACACTAAACAATGAGACGTCAAACAAGGTGGATACCACGGCACGCACCTTGCCATTTTGCCAAGCCAAAGATAAGAAATGCAACACAACACAACAAACAAAGGAGAACAATGATACAAATATCACCTTTCGCTCTTTAATTATACTTTTACATACCACACTCACAGCTTCTGGAACAAACAGTTTAAATAGACGGAGATCAGCCCTCCCTAATTCTTAAAGAAACGGATGAAAATATTTACAATGCGTATATTTTGAAATTTCTTTAGGCCCGTTAAAAACCCAAAGGTACACGTTTATGCATAATATTCCAAGAAAATTCCAAAAAACTCTAGGCTCATTAAATTTCTATTCAAAACACACACATATGTATGTAATATTTATAGTCATCAAGATTGAACTCTATCAAGTCGAGCCATGTACCCATGACTTTATCATTGAATCAACATGTTTCCCTGTGTTTACTAATTTGTTCCTGAGATTAGCAGTGTTTATATATATGAAGTAAAATCTATGTGCTTGATATTCAAATTTTGATCTCCTCCAAACCCCGTACAAAGCACAGCCTAAAGAATTGGATCAGATATCAGTATGTTATTTTTTTTTTCAAGTGGTCCCTTTTTGTAAGTTTTGTATCATAACCAAGTTTTCTTCTTAATTATGTCCCAATCAGGAGACGGATGGATCCATGGGCGCTTACTTCGTCGTTCGGGTTTGCAAAAATTACAATGCATTTCCATCGATCGCGATCACGGTAGCTTATTTAATTTTCCCCTTTGGAGTAAGCAGTGGGTCCCATTACCACTAGGCCTCATAAAGCAAAACAGAAATGTGTTAATTTTTGTCTTAGTTGGTTGTATTGGACGGTTATTAATTCCTTCAAGAGAAGATGATGTTTTCTTCTGGAACAATCTAACAAATAATAACCAAATGTCATACTCCTGGAACAATTTAAAAAAGGGACAGTGGTAACAAATTATATTGGGCGATATCAATTGAACCATCGATTATTACCTATTGAAAAAATGGATTATGGTAATTGGTAGGGGTGGGCAAAATAAGACCGAACCAAAGAACCGAACCGAAAAGACCGAGACCGAGAAATTCGGGTAGTAATTCGGTCTCAACATGTCAAAGACCGAAATTTGTTCGGGTAATTCGGTTATTGGGCTCGGTTAATCGAATTAACCGAGAAAATCAAATTGTGGCCCAATAGGTCCAGGAGGCCCAGTACACCACTAAACCCTAGAGACAACCCACAGGCTGCATCCCCATCCATCCAGCCATCGCGCCGCCCTCCCTTCCATCCCCATCCCCATCGCGCCGCCCTCCCTTCCATCCCGTGTGAGCACACCTCCTCTGCCTCCATCGCGTCGCGCCGCGCCGCCGCCTCCACATCGTCGGCGCCGACTCCGCCCTCCGCCTCCACGCCGCCTCGTCGGTCGCGCCGGGCCACCGGATTCATCACGCCGCGCCACCACCTCCGCCCTCCGCCCTCCACATCGTCGGCGCCGTGTTCGCCTTCACGCTGCCTCGCCGATCGCGCGGGCCGCTGGCCGCCAGATCCATCGCGCCACGCTGCCACCTCCGCCCTCCGCCTCCACATCGCCGGCGACGTCTCTGCCCTCCGCCTCCACGCCGCCTCGCCGGTCGCGTGGACCGCCGACTGCCGGATCCATCGGGCCGCACCGCCACCTTCGCCCTCCTCCTCCACATCGCCGGTGTCGTCTCCGCCCTCCGCCTCGACGTCGCCAGCGTCGTCTCCGCCCTCTGGCTCGGCTCCTCCGAATTCGGTCTGATCGAGACCGAGACCGAAAAAACCGAGACCGGATTTATCGGTCTTGATTTTTTTGGATGAAATTCGGTCCTGACTTTTCAAAAACCGAATTGACCGAAAAACCGAAGACCGAGATCGAAATTTTCGGGTAGACCGAACGCCCACCTCTAGTAATTGGCATGTGAACATTCATCAGGGAGGCGACTTACAGATGAACTTGGCATATATAAACAGTGCTGCTCTGTTTTGATTTCTTTGTAAAAGCCACATGCCTCTGCTGCTCTATGTGTATTGTTTCATACGCTAAAACCTCTTTGATGCTCACTCAACACAATCAGCCCTATTTGGCTACCAAACCGTGCAATCACTTCTTTTACAGCAATTGCTTCTTTATATAGTCGGTATATGCCAAACTAAAGATCCACATCCTAGTTCTTACCTAACAAACAATTCCTTTAAAAACCATTGGAATCTTCTTTTGCACCGTTTTATTTTAATGCTTGGTTAAGCTATTTATTGCAGGACACAAAAAATTGTTTAAATGACTACTATCTACTCCCGTTTCAGGTTATAATACGTTTTGACTTTAGTCAAAGTCAAACTGCTTTAAGTTTGACCAAGTTTATAGAAAAATAGTAATATTTTCAAACCAAGAAAAATTTATTATGAAAATATATTCAATTAGTGATTTGATGAAACTAATTTGTTAGTATAAATATTACTATTTGTCTATAAACTTAATCAAACTCGAAACAATTTGACTTTTATCAAAGTCAAAACGTCTTATAATATGAAACGGAGGGAGTATATTTCTATATATTAATAAGTATGATATCTATTTCTCTCCTCTTTCTTTATACTTCACATAATCATGAGAAAAAAACATTATGTAGCATTCTCTCTGAAATGGTGATGTGCACCATTGTTTACGACCCTGGTGCTTAGAATAAGGGGTACATTCATGGTTTCATGATGCGCATAAATATGATGTGCATGTATGGCTAAAAGAACCCCCACCATATGACAGGTAATATAAAGATCTCTTAAATCTTTAATTATACAGTAATTTTTAGACCTTAAAAAAACTGAGTTTAGAGTTGTCTTTGTGATCTCCTGAGTAAAACATCGCAGTAGCACGTGCAAAGACGGCCGTGTTCATTTCCAAAAGGGCGCAGCAGGGTACGATTGATCTTTGAGCTATTGCTTGACAGTGTACGAGTACGACCGTTGCCCGCCCGTCGAACTGACGGATAACCATAATATCCACCATCGAAACGATATTGACCCAACTGCTGCCGTCAACTTTTTCTTTTCGAAAAAACGAAAGTGCTGGAGTCTAATAAGGGAAAAAAGAACCAAAACGAAGCAAGAATAAAGCAGGCAGGGAAGCGAGGTAGAGAGAGAGAAGAGGAGCATGTACTCCATGCATGTCCGTCCAAAAAGTACAGCTCATAGTGTGCGTGCAGAAAACGAACTCTAGAACGTGACCTTGTTCGCCTCTAAAATAACCCGGGGACTGTGCAATCAACGAGCACCCGAAGCCCCAGAGAAAGAAAAGGAGAGGAGATGGGTGGAAAGTAAAGGGAGACGCCCACTACATCTAGTGAAATGCTTTGATCTTAACCACAGTGCCGTTCTCTAGCCACCATCTCAGCAGCACCAGCAGCAATTTGCAAAACGGCATAGTGCTTAGCCCATGTCTACTTGGCACCACCACATCGATGCGAGCTAACTAAACAAAAGAGAGGGCGGTTTGGTTAGTGATTTCATTAGGCGGAGCTAACTAACTAACAAAACCGGTTCGCACGCCCAATGATCGTTAGGACGATTGGGCATTTTTAAAAACCGTGAAGTCAATCTGATGCAGACGTGGTAGCGGAGGAGCTCGCAGAAGCGGACGAAAGCGGCAGTAAACTGGCATTTCTTGTGCTCTGCTGGTTAACCGCGTCCTCCCTTGACGGGGACTCCAACCCCAACCCCCGTTTTTTTTAAAAAAAAAAATCATAGAGGAACCTAAAATGCTCCATGACAAGTACGGCGAGTTTATTTAATTTTCTCATTCTCGTGTTTTCGTGACAGGTGCATTTAAATCTCAATCATCTGCGTGATTTGATTGAGCGATGCAGGGGTGTGGAGGAAAAGTCTGAAACGGGCGTGACCGGCCAAACGAACGAGGGTCGGGACGCAAGCAAAGCCGCCGCGTCAAAATCCGACGCGCCCCCATAAACTCCACGCCTCCACCCCCACCCTCTCCGCCCCCGTAACCGCGCATCCTCCTCCTCTTCCACCTCTCCCCACCCTCCCTCTCCGCTCCTCCGCCTCCGCCTCCGCCTCCGCGTGCTCCCGTAACCGCGCCGCCGCAGCCTCCGCCTCCGCGCGGTTCCTCCCGCAAGCGGCTTCTCCGCCGCGCGCGTCCGTTTCTCTCCCGATCCCCGCCGCCCGGGGGGGTGCCGTGCACTCGTCGCCGTCGCTGGGCGCCTGCCGTGTCGGCGGCGGCCGGTGGGCGAGATTTTGTCGCCGCGCGCGGGGCGGGGGCACGGTTGGTTTTGAGGCGAGATTGATTGCCAGGTAGCTGGCGTATTGTCTTATCTACGTTTGTCCTCGCTTCTCATCTCACCTAATTTACATGGTTTGTTTCGGTTGAATTGTTCATCCTTTGTTCTTGTATAATGGGCGACTTGGAGAATTTAGGTCAAATCAGTCGGATGAGCAATCCGTGGTTAATACCGGTTTGATGGCACTAATTGTAGCTTACTTGGAGGGGTGGAGTTTTGGGACTAAAGCATCTTAGGCGTCAGATTTGCCGTCGAACTTTCAACCATGGAGAATTATATGGAGCAACATTAATTTTCCTCAGGCATACTGTTGCTGCACGATAGGATTTTTGTTCTCCGCGACCTGTTAGGCATCATGTTAATTTTATTTATTTTATAATTGCTTAGTTAGAACCGCCAGCCCTTGTTCATCTAGGAAGGGATACATCGCGAGACAGAAAAAAAAGCTAATTACACAGATAAGTTGATTTGCCCTGGAACTTGATTTGGTTTGATGATAAAGTAACCCGTACAAGAAGTATACGAACCATTTAGGACCCAATGAGAGCACCACTTTGTTCAACTTCAATTTCTATATCTTTAATCGCTATCCTCAATGATTAATGGCAACTCCTAAAAATGATTGGTTGCAGTGGTTCACATTTTAGTTCCGAAAGATCTGTGCTGAAGTGGTACCGTGGAGTAGCTTTGGGCATTTTCTGTGGTTTATCAGTTTCATGCGTTAAGTTAAGACCTAGGTTTGATTTAATGAATGCCATGTTCTATTTATTCACAAAAATGATGTTTCATTAATCGTTTGGCCAAGCCTTCATTATTAATCAGTTTTTGTGAAATTTAATTTGTCTTGTTCTTGGATTGTAAATTTTAATTATATAGATCTCATTCGACTGACCTTGGTGAAGCTCTTCACAATATCTTGCAAATTGAGTTATGTATACAAATGTGATCATCAATTTTTCCACACAGTAGAATGATATTAATTTATGATCTCTTGCAGGTTCACAATGAATACAGAAGGCCTGGATTCTTGTGTATAGGTTCTCTCTTCTGAGAGACATCACTGAAAATTCTCACAGAATGTTGGAGGGTCAATCTTGCTTGATCTCAAGGTCTTTGCCAAGCTCCTGTGATCAAGAATCCAGATTAGCATACATGACCTACCACCTCCTTGAGATAACGAGGAGTAAGCGCATATCAAGTACTCCGAGGATTGAACCTGATAGTGTTGCTGCAGTAGCAGTACTGACCAAACGACCTAAATCTGCCAGGAACCATGAGTGTGAGCAGCTGGATTGTCAAGGCAGCAATGATCAGGGTTTTTCGGATTCAAGTACCCTAATAAGTTCTATCGGTCGAGATAACTCAATCAGTTGCCTCGCCCGTTGCTCTCGTTCAGATTATGGCTCCATTGCATCAGTCAATCGGAACTTCCACTCACTTGTCCGCAGTGGGGAGCTTTACAAGGAACGGCGTCAGTTGGGGATTGCAGAACATTGGGTCTATTTCTCCTGCAACGTGCAGGAGTGGGAAGCTTATGACCCTTACCGTTCACGGTGGATGACACTCCCAAAGATGCCACACAATGAGTGTTTCATGTGCTCAGACAAGGAGTCACTTGCAGTGGGCACCGAACTCCTGGTTTTTGGCAAGGAGATTCTTTCCCACATTGTTCTGAGTTACAGTATTCTGACAAACTCGTGGTCGCCTGGTGTTGATATGAATGCCCCTAGATGCTTGTTTGGATCAGCTAGCTTTGGAGAGAAAGCAATTGTAGCTGGTGGCATGGATGCTCAAGGTCGGGTGCTACGCTCTGCTGAGCTGTACAACTCTGAAACTAAGAGATGGATAACACTCCCATGCATGAACAAGGCTAGGCGAATGTGTTCTGGAGTCTTTATGAACGGCAAATTTTACGTAATTGGGGGAATGGCCAGTAACACGGAGGTGCTGACCTGCGGAGAAGAGTATGATTTGGAGAAAGGTACCTGGAGGGTGATAGAGAACATGTCTGAGGGGCTCAACGGTGCAAGTGGTGCACCTCCCCTTGTTGCTGTTGTTGAAAATGAGTTATATGCTGCACAATATGCAGGAAAGCTAGTAAGGAAATATAACATAAAGGATAACACATGGACAACACTGGGAGAGTTACCAGAGCGGCCAGAAGCTGTGAATGGCTGGGGTATTGCATTCCGAGGATGTGGAGAGCGGCTCTTGGTGATTGGTGGACCAAGAGTGATGGGAGGGGGGATGATTGAGCTCCATTCATGGATCCCGAGGGAGGGGCCGTTGCGGTGGAACATGATCGGGAGCAAGCCTTCTGGTAACTTTGTTTATAACTGTGCTGTCATGGGGTGCTGATTTGTGCCACCCTCTTGCCGAACATACTGTGAACATGAAAGATTGTGATATTGGTTTCCTCAAATGTCATAAAGCACCGATTCGCCTGATGGGTAATCTCTGCCTTTCTTTTTGACATTTCAGATTTTACACGTGGTTCAATAGAGTAGTTGTTTCAGTGCATGCGTCACTGGTCACCCTTAGGTAAATTTTCCACATTCGATTTGCAGCTGGGAATTTGTACCTTGTTCTACCCTCTATCGGAACAAGTTCCCGATGGATGCATTTAGTCGACAAACTGTAATTGAGGCACCATTGCATCTGTACAATTGTATGAGGTTCTGATTTGGTGCCTGTCGATCCCATTACTCTTTTGTGCAAATGTTTCTTGACAGGAAGAACATGAATTATAATGTTCCTCTGTTCACTTTAGATGCGTCCTTTTTGCTCCCTTTGTTGAGTCATCTGACTGTTGCACCTTTCTCTGATTGCCTGATGGCCAAATTCATCACGGAACCAAAAGGATGTTAGGCATATAATTGTAGATCCTTTAAGTGTACTCATACATTGCATATGTTGCATATATGGACAAGTCAACACTTGGTGCCGAAGAAGTCGTTGCACTTACGTCTTAGTACACCAGGGAGGGATCACCCTACTCAATACTTGGCCGCTGTGCTTAGCTTAGCCTAGGTGATGTTGTTATCGTCTAGGGTGGGCAGGCACTCCTTCGGCTTTATTTCTGAGATGGTGACAAGTGTGGAGCTAATCAGTGGATCGGTGCCTGATGCGTGCTTTACGTCGTGGAAAAATGGGGGATCCATGTTTTGTTGTCGAGTTGTGCTGCGTACAATCAGCTTGATTGGTTAGTTTGCATTGATCATTTCGCAGCATATCTCCGGAACCCTGTTTCTTTTGAGCCCCCTTTTAAATTCTCTGTGTGTTCTTTCACTAGTGATTGGGTGCTTGTCGGGTTGTCTTTTAGTTTTAGCCTTTAGGCCTTGATTGATAGATTTTAGACTATAATATATTTTCCAATTTATTTCCTGATAAAACAAAGCGGATAGAGTATTAGAAGGAACCATCCTACTACATGATTAGGGAAATGATCTGCCAGACCTAAAATACCTACTCTGCCCAGGGACCAGCCAGTAGCTAGTAAATTACGCCAGCACAGGAACAGAATGGATCTGATAATTTGTCCTGGCTTGTTCTTCTGCAGTGATCGAGCAATAGCTTTCGCGGTTCCCAGCCTCGCGGCTCACTGCCCAACTGATCCCTGCTGGTGCATTTGCCACGTTGGTTGCTCCTTCAATTTATTTGGTGCGCTGCTGCGGTTGTTGCATCTTGACCTGTCTATTATCAGCGGACACAACACACGCTGACACGCAGATGTGTAGCACCTGCATGCCGAGGACGGTACGTCGTAGTACTATGCGCTACTAGCAAGCAATGAAGACGACAGGACGGAGAAGCGGTTCATCGACGACGATACGAAGATATGGGGGGGTCATGATGATGAGGATATCCATCTAGCCATCCAGCTAGCTGCGGTTTTTTTTACCTTTTTACGGTCCATGGCTAGTACCACTGGCATGCACGGTGCTTGCTGGGCGGTAGGCACGGCGCCGCCCGTGGGCAATCTCGCCTGCTGGCAGCTCTGGTCCCCCTTGAGAGCACGAGGACGGCGAGCGAGCCTGGCCTCCGCGTCCGCGATGGAAGGTGGCAGGGCGTGACCAGGTACTACTACTACTACTTGCAGTCACGTGTAGGGGTAACACGGGACGGGGGGGACGGTTTACTACTACTACTACTCACCTGTGGCCGTGGGTGACGCACGCATTTTCAGTTTTTCACCGGGTGGGCACGTTGCCCTGTATCCTTCATTCCTTCATCCATTTTCGTCTGCATTTGCGCTGTGGCCAGCAGCTGGCCGCGCCTCCCGACGATGTCCTCTTTTCCGCGGGATCCCCACGTACGCGCCGGCATTCGATTTGCCCCCTTCCATCTGCCGTGCGTGGTCCGTCCGCCCGGACGCCCGCGGCCTCCTCGGCAGATTCATGCGGAGATTCTCCACCCAGCAGCCGCCCACGCGGAGACGAGCACGAACTAGGCGCGCGGCGCGCGAGCTCATGTGACGCGCCTGCATCGCGCGTACGACAAGGGCGGACAATCGTGGCCGCCTCTCTTTGCCCTCGTTTTCTGGGGAGTTGTTAGAGCAGGTACAATAGCATGCTATAAATCAACTATAAATATATTTTAAAAAGATAAAGGAAGAGAGAGAAGAGCAGCGGGCTACAGATCTGTAGCCAGTTACAGCACGCGGACTCTAAGACGTAATGTGTGTGTGACAGGTGGGACCCGGTATTAATAGTATAGTAAGCAACTATTATATGAATTGGCTATTACATTGGCTATAAATGATCTGTAGCCAGCTACAGCACGCGGACTCTAAGACGTAATGTGTGTGACAGATGGGACCAGGTATTAATAGTACAGTAAGCAACTATTGTATGAATTGGCTATTACATTGGCTATAGATGATTTGAAGGTAGTAGTGGGCTATACTATTAAACTTGCTCTTATACGTTGATTGATTCGTTTCCCCATCTCTTTTCACCGCGCGCCCTACCTGCGGCCTGATAAGCTGTCTTTTCCTGTGTCAGTGGTGGCTTGGATTTTGTTTCGGACTTCTTTTGTTTCGTGATCCGTGAAGACTGCTTCCAAATTTGATCCCCCTACTCCTATTTGACGTGAGCTTTAAAAGAAGTTGGCACAGGACATGTACTACTGTACTGCACTGTAGGATCGAATAACACGGTGAACGGGTGAAGGCTAGATTAGTTGCTATACTAACTTTCTATGGGACAGAGAGAATGTGGTTTTCGTCTTATGGATGATAGGAAAGAGGGAAGAAGAGCGTGAAACCAGGATTGACATAAGGGCGTTCACAGTACGACGAGGTGGCATTCAGCCTCGGAGCGAAATATGGAATATTCTTAGCCACGTACGCAAACCGCGCAGCCTGCTCAAGACCGCGAAGCCAAAATTAGCCACCGGTTCTTCCTCAGTTTTAGGTGGGGCCCACACTCGAGCAACGCGTTAGAGAAGGGAGAGGGAGGAGAGAGACCTCCACGCCATAGTCGACCATCACCACACTCCACGCTGGAGAAGCTCGCTACTCCGCCGCCACTTTACCGCCCGGCGCCGTTGCCGCATGGACCGCCTCGCTGGAGAAGAGAAGGGGACGGCAACGGAGGTGAAGAGAAGCGGCCGGCCACACGGAGGAACTCGTCGTCGATCCGCAGCCGGCCGCATGGAGGAGCTCGTTGTCGACCCGCAGCCTCCGGCTCCGCTCGGCTCGCAAGGGGGGAGGAGAGAGGCCGCCACCGAAAATGGGAGAAGCCGACGTGGCGAGAGGAAAGGAGCGGCCTCGATCGAGGAGGGGTGGATTTGGCCGTCCCTCTCTGCCGTCGACGCTGCCGCCCCCTGCTACGCAGCCGCGCCGCGCTGCCGATACCATCGCTGCTTTGGGGGAGGAGAGGAAGGGTGGATCTGGCCGCCCACCGCCGTCGTCGCCCTAATGCCATTGCTGCCCCAGTGCCGTGTCTGTGCTATGGAGAAAGGAGGAAAGGAGAGGGAAAGGGAGATAAAAAGTGAAAAAAAAATACTAGTGAGACCCACTATAGGTAACATGCATTGTGGAGTATGTGGCTAATGGGGTTCTTCATCTAGCTGGCAGCTCAAATTCGCCAAAATCACACGGCGCACTGCGAACGCCCTAAGGACTAACAAGCCTAACATGAATGACAGAGTCAAAGGATATCGATGATGCTTGATCAAACAATTGACGGCGATACCATGACAACCAAGATTGATGTTTTTCTTGGGGCCACGTACGACTACAAATCGGCGCACCACGCATGATCCTAGCAAAAAAACATAAAATCATACGTTGTTACATTAGTTTAAAAAATCCATCACTTGATTAGATGTTCAACTTATTTGGTCAAAATGTCTGATGCCAAAGCACCTGACCGGAGCGTGGCATCGACCATTGCATATTTGCACTACGCAGTTGCTGCTAGAGCGAGGCTTGTGGCAGCTGTCAATGAGCCAAGCTCGAGCGAGCTCAGACTTTATAGACTCGAGCTTGTGAAACGTGTGTCGAGCCTGTGTAACCTACGAGCATTCAAGCAGGCTCGGCTCAAGCTCGATTAAGCCCGACTACCGAGTTTGGCTTGTAAGTACACATATATTAAAGGATAATCCCTTACCTAAAAATAATAATTTCCAATTAATCACGTTAATGAAGGAAGGATGAAAAGAATTAAGATAAATGTATGATACGAATACATGCAAAATTTTCATGTGGATATGTACAATTTACTAGTAGTTTATTAAAAAACAATGAAAATCATATATGGTCAGGCTTGTTTAGAGCTCAAGCTTGGTTCAACAAAGCTGACGAGTTTTGGGTTAAGGTCGAGTTCAGCTTGTTTGGAGCTTGAGCTCTTCATGAGCCTTGAGCTTTCTTAACAATCTTGTTCTCACCAGGGCCGTGCGAGCTGAATTGAAGGGAGAATAGAGCGAGGATATGGGGGAGGGAGGGAGGGAGCGGTAAGGGAGAACATTCATTTCTTCTAGATTTTTCACCTTTTAGTCTTTTTGAAAAACTTATTCTAGAAATGACCCTTTTCGTGTCGCCAACGTTAGTAGCATCGTGGTCCAGCATGACGGCATCAATGACGTTGGTGCCGTCTCCCTAGCCCACTGGTGGAAGCTAAGTTATAGTACTAAGGTGATCAAGGGGATGGTACCAATGTCGTTGGCGCCGAGGACCACTTTGTAAGAAAAATTAAAAGAATATATTTGTAGCAGAAAAAGATCTATTTGTAATAAAGAGATAATTACAAATAGGTCCTTGGTGCTAATGACGTTGGCGCCGAGACCCTATTTGTAATTATTTATTAGAGTAAATTTCAGAAAAGTGCAACTTTAGTAACAAAACTATCGGTTTGCTGCAACATTAGCGACATATTTCAGTTTGCTACAATGATAGCGTGGGAAATTATCACAAAACTATAACTTCTACGTTATATGCTGCTGCAGTTGTCACCTATATGTAATGTAGCAGCATATAACGTAAAAGTTACAGTTTTGTGATAATTTCTCACGCTATCATTGCAGCAAACTGAAACATATCGCTAATGTTGCAGCAAACTGATAGTTTTGTCACTAAAGTTGCAGCTTTCTAAAATTTACTCTATTTATTATTATAGCTAGATCCTTTTTTTATTATTAATAGGCCCTTTTTCAAAATAAAAAAACAAATTGGTCCATCACATTAGTGACTTAACTTTCACTGGAGGGCTAGGGTGATGGCGCCAATGTTTGGCGCCGTCATATTGGACCATGGTGTCAATGAGTTGGCACCACGAAAAAAACTATTTCTAGAATAAGTTTTTTTTAGACATCTATTTATAGAATAAGTTTTCTAAAAGAATCGAAATATGAAACAAGTTGGATCGGCCTTTCCTTGGCGGGCATTCTCTCATTTACCCCAACCATAATGAATTGACAGCTGGGCTGAAGGCCACATGCCATACATACGCGTGAGGCAAATCTTGCTGGTGTATATGGTCTGCTGGATACATGTACTCAGAATGATAGTGATGATTCACTAATAAGAACATTTGTCGGGGAGACGGTCACCGACGCTGGGTTTATGAGCAGCCACAAGGTATGACATGTGACGTGAAAAATCTAACGTGCAATGGCAGTGATCTACTGATCACCTAGACATCACTCGGAAAATGGCTGGAATCAGTGAATCACCGCACATGTTCCATTGCTTGCTCCATCGATTTGATGTGTAGGAGTACTACTCTGTGTCTCTGCCAAGATGCCAATTGTCAAAGCCTCCAAATCTTCAATAGCAGGCTAAACAATCCGGGGACTCCTAGCTAGCGCGTGCTCGCTGCTAGCGAGCACTCCTACTCTATTAACTATCTCTATTAACACTATTAGTTAATATACTTAACTACATCTATTAGTTAATATACTTAACACTAATGATAGTAATTAGGAAAGATTCTAGAGATTTTTTACTAACAGATTGAAAAATTTTTAAGTTAGATTTGAAAATTTTTGATTTAAATTTTAAATTTTAAAGTCAAATTTTGAAAACTTTTAAGTCAGATTTGAAAACTTTCAACTCAAATTCGAAAACTTTCAACTCGAGATTCGAAAACTTTCAAGTCTAGATTTGAAAATTTTGAAAACTTTCAAATCGAGATTTGAAAACTTTCAACTCGAGATTTGAAAACTTTCAACTCGAGATTCGAAAACTTTCAAGTCCAGATTTGAAAAATTTGAAAACTTTCAAATCGAGATTTGAAAACTTTCAACTCGAGATTCGAAAACTTTCAAGTCCATATTTGAAAATTTTGAAAACTTTCAAATTGAGATTTGAAAACTTTCAACTCGAGATTCGAAAACTTTCAAGTCCAGATTTAAAAATTTTGAAAACTTTCAAATCGAGATTTGAAAATTTTCAAGTCAAGATTTAAAAACTTTCAAGTTCAAATTTGAAAATTTTCAACTCAAAATTTAAAACATTCAAACTCAAAACATGCTAAAGATTAAAAAAAATAATCAGAAAAAAAGGAAAAATCGGAAAAAAAATGGGTAAAGAAAAACGAAAAAAGAAAAAAGAGTGGGAGGCGCGCGCCGGCGCTGGGCCTTATGGGCCGGAAACAATTCATAGGCCTCGAGTGTAAACTACGTTTCAGATGGGCTGCGACCTGAGAAGCCCATATACCGTTCTGGCCCATACGATTTTTTTTGATCGGTGGCCCATACGAATTTTTTTTTGATCGGTGGCCCATACGAATTGCCAACACCAAACTGAGCAAGAGCAACTGTGGCTGACCGAACCGTGAAAGAAGAACTCGCGTAGTCGGTGGTCTCACCACGGGCTCACGGGCAGTGACGGCAGCATCAACCGTTACCCGCTTAAATCAACGGCCGAGATTACTCGGAGACTCTTCGCACAAAAGGAGAAAAAGGAGAGAAGGGATCGCGTATCTCGTGCCTTGCAAGTCGTCTTCGTCTTCCTCCTTGCCATCTCGCCCAATCTCGAGATTCTCCGCTGCTATTATCCCCGATCCAAACCCTAATCGATCCCGCCATGGAAGCGGCGGTGCTCCCGCGACCCGCGGACATCACCCCGGAGCTCCGCCGTTTCCTCGACTCCCGCTTCCGCTCGCAAGCAGACCTCGCCGCGGCCGCCGACGTCGAGGCCGAGATCCGCGGGCGCTACGCGGAGCTCGAGGCCTCGGTATCCGACCTCTCCGTCCGCCTAGCGGCCGCCGCCGCAGCTTACTCCTCCAGCTGCAGCGCCGCCGGCACCGCTCTGAGTAATGTCCGCGGCTGCCTCGCTGCCCTGAATGCCTCCACCTCTGAACCAGGTATCACAGATAAACACTTGTTACTGATTTCTTACATACTGTTCTTCGCGAGTTGATTTTTGCTCGAATTTTTGATTCATTGTTGTTTTAGGGGTCACAGAAGCGGTGGAGGTTGGGAGCGAGGAGATGTTGTTTGAGCAACTTTCTTCTCTGGCCAAAGAGGTGGCGAGAGTGGAGTTGGTCAGGGATTACGCCGGTGAGTGTGAAATTAGTTTCCTCGGACCTTGTATCCGTGCTTTGTTTGATATTTGATATTTCGGATGATTAAAAGCTGACAATGAGATCACTCCTATGACAACTCTTAACGCTGTCAACTCTTTTCCTCGTATACTTTTGTTTGTTTAGTTTAGCCATAATGTGTTGCGAAATACTGATGCACGATCTACTGCTTGCTTAAGAAATTTAGATTGGATAATTTTATTAGGCATGTAGAAAATGACGCTTACGAATTTGAAACCGACCAATGTTTTATCATGTCCATTATATTGATACGATATGATGCCTTTACTTAGAAATGTACTGTACTAACATTTGATACAATGGGGCATGGATTGCTTAAAATTGGAGCAGACTGGGTGTTGGTGATATAGGTTTTGGTGACTGGTTAATAATTGGTCTTGGTGGGTACAGATTGCCAATACAGTTGGGTAGGACGATGATATCTGTTCTGGCACTCACACGATTAATCAACAACTGGGCTTGGCAACCCTAGAAAGGGAGTGTCATTTTGATTAGGAATAAATACTCCCCTGAACTTTTACCGAGTCCTTCTAGCACCCTGAACTATTAATCGGATATTTAGCTCCTGAACCTGTTAATACGGTCCACTCAACCTCCTAAGCCCTTATTTGGATAGGCTGAAATCACTGCCGCATCCACATGTCTGGCTGGAATTTTGAAATCTTGGCTCACACCTGTGGATGGGCCAGGATCGAGGCACACTTAAAAGAGGCCTAAGCTGTTTTGCAGGCGGGTTTGGCCACATGGCATGTTGATTGGACGTATTTGCTACATCATCTTGCTGATTGGACCATTGATCAGATATGAGGAGGTAAATTTAGCTCACCGTAAATCTCCTTCCCATCTCTTACTCAATCAGTGGTCTAATCAGCAAAGTGATGCAGGAGATACCTCCAACTAGCATTCTACATAGCCAAACCGCCTTGCAAAACTCTGGGTGTTACACAGATAAAATTAACAAGTTCTGGGGGCTTAAATACCCAGATTTATTGTTCAGGGTGCTAGCCAGACTCTTGGACAAAGTTTAAATCGGTATTTGTGCTTTTTCATTTTTATTATATGGATAGTTGTCCAATTTAACTGGAAATTATGGGGATACTATTTTTTTTGAGATATTATTTCATATATGCCCTTTGTCTACAACTGCAATTGCGAATGTAGAATCAAACTCCAACAATAGTGCTGAAACCAGAACATCCATTTTGTTCTGCTACCTCACCCATCCAATATGAGCATGGGATTAGGGTGGTTGGACATATTAACTAGATTTAGTCTGTAAAAACTAAGTAAATTCAATAAAACTTTGAATAAAGACAAAACAATACCGAGGATAAAATAATGATCTGATTAGATTTGAATGCTAGAGCTAGGCAAATATGATGGAACATGGAAAGTTCCAACAAACAATTGAGGGTGTGATTTAATTTGTTACTAACAAAGCAAACATCTGGCCACCTCAGAGTTTACTCTGGAAACACCTTGATTATTCTAAGCATATGGGTTTTCTCCTCTCCAGTGTTGTGCGAAAATGCGATGCAAGGAGTTTCATAAGGTTGATCTGCTGGTCAGATGGTATTAGTTCTTGTTCTTAATTGCATCACTGTTATATGTTAGGTGTCACGATTATTCTATCTTGATGGATGTTTCAATTTAACTAGTATTGTAGGGAAAAAGGAAGCACCATAATTTGTTCCTCAAGTTGGTTTGCTATCTTTAGTTTAATACTCCCTCCGTTTTTTAATAGATGCCACCGTTGACTTTTGAACACATGTTTGACCATTTATTTTATTCAAAAATTTTATGCAAATGTATAAGGTATAAATCATGCTTAAAGTACTTTGAGTGTTAAAACAACTCAACAAAATAAATTATAATTACATAAATTTTTTGAATAAAACGAATGGTCAAACGTGTGACAAAAAGTCAACGACGTCATCTATTTAAAAAACGGGGGTAGTATCTATTATTTTGTTAGTCCTGATACTGTGCTCTTTGACTAAGTTTCCTAGTGTGCATTGATTTTTTTTATATTATCCTGCGGACATCTCACTGATATATCATTGCCTGATACCTGCATATTTTTTTTTTGACAAAGTTTCTTAGAATACATAGTTCTACCCATTATCCATAAAAACCATCATCCGATTCATTCTTTAATTTAACCGAAGCAAACAACGTGGAATTTTAATTTTCTACTCCCGGAATTGCATTGTTAGAGCTGAGCCAGGATTTCTTGGTTTCTGAAATTGAGAAACTTGTGAAATGACTCAGTTCAGAAAAAAGGAGGAGGCTTTTATGGACTAGCATGGGAACGATAAATTTGAGTGAAAACTAATTGAATGAATTATCGTGGGATACCCCAACTATTGTCCTTGACTTTAGATACTTAACATAATTTAAGTTTATATTTTCTCGTCCTTGTCTTGGCAATTGGCATTGTACTTTTCTTCAATTATGTTGCTCAAGCATTTGCTCTATACTTAACTTCAACACTGGTGGTTTTTTAACAGTAGGTTGTCTTATACAGAAACGGCGCTAAAGCTTGACAGTTTTGTCGGCGACGTAGAAGATGCTGTTTCATCTTCTGTGACCGGAAAACTTAAATCTCGTGCAGAAAGTTCACTGGTACGAATATTGCCATTTTAGTATGGGAAAACCAACATGTCAACTGCTAAGTTTGGATTTCGTTTTTTCTCCAGAAAACATATCATGTTCCTATTGGATATCTTAAAACAATAGAAGATATTTTATCTTCAGTCACAAAGACCAGACCACAATGGACTCGCCTTGTTTCTGCAGTGGATCACAGAGTTGACCGATCTTTGGCTCTACTAAGACCACAAGCAATTGTCGATCATCGAGCTCTTTTGGCATCCCTTGGCTGGCCTCCATCACTTTCTGGAACAAATTTTTCTAGTATTAATTCTGGGAAACCATCAGAGATTGTGAACCCCTTATTTTCAATGAAGGGTGACCTGAAAAGCAAGTATTCTGAGAGCTTTCTTTCGCTATGCAGTTTGCAGGAATTGCAAAAACGTAGAAAAGCTCGACAGCTAGAAGGGCACATTGTCAACAATCAACTACGTCAACCATTATGGGTAATTGAAGAGTTAGTAAATCCAATAGCTGCTGCCGCACAACGCCATTTCTCCAAATGGGTTGAAAAGCCTGAGTTTGTTTTTGCTCTTGCTTATAAGATAACTAGAGACTTTGTAGATTCCATGGATGAGATATTACAGCCCCTTGTGGATAAAGCTAACCTTGTAGGGTATAGTTGCAGAGAAGAGTGGATTTCTGGAATGGTCATCACATTGTCGACATACTTGGTGAAAGAGATATTTCCTAAGCATATTGAACTTCTTCAGGAAATTAGCTCGGCTGATGCTAGCAGCAAACAATCTCAAGCTAGAGTCTCATGGCTTAATCTTATTGACCTGATGATATCTTTCGACAAGCAAACCCAAGCTTTGATCTCAAGTTCAGGACTCCTACTTTCGGTGAAGGATGATGATAATTGGCAGAGGATCTCGGTTCTCTCCGTCTTCTGTGATCGGCCAGACTGGCTTGAAATATGGGCAGAGATTGAGAGACAGGATACTCATGATAAGCTGAGATTATCAATGGAGAATGAGAAAAACTGGAATACAAGGTTTCAAGGAACAGTGCTTGAATATGGTTCAGATGACTATAAGTCTCCAGCAATTACCGGTGTAATCCAAAAGGGCCTGTCCTTGCTAATAGATCGTGCTCGGCCCATTCCAAATATAGCACTTAGAGCAGAATTCATTAAGATTTCTACTTCACCTTTATTATCAGAGTTCCTTGGCTGGATGCTTCAAAGGTGCCAAGAAGCAGAGGGATTAACAGCTCTGGCAGATGATAATGCTCTTCTCAAGGTATCACAGTCCATTAATGCAGCTCGATACCTTGAGTCCACATTGACAGAATGGTGCAATGATGTATTCTTTCTTGAGATGGAAAATATAGATGGCCGTAGCGAATGTATCTTCCAAGTGGAGATAAATCAACTGAAAGATTTTAGAGTACAATGGACTGAAAAGATTTCTACCGTCATTTTAAGGGATTTTGATGCCCGGTCAAGGGATTATCTGAAAAATAAAAGGCAGTGGCAGGAGAAATCAGAAGGGTTAACATTATCCAGGGCATTCGTAGAATGTTTAGACTACATGCAAGGACGGATAGCTAAGCTGGAAGATGGTCTAAATGTCCTGGATTTTGTGACTGTGTGGAGAACTGTGGCAAGTGGAGTAGACCAGCTGCTCTTTTCTGGAATTTTCAGTGGCAGCACAAAGTTTAGTAATGGCGGGGTGGAAAGACTTCATGGTGATCTGAGTATATTGTTTGCTGCTTTTTCTGCGTGGTGTATGAGGCCTGAAGGCTTCTTTCCAAGACTGTCTGAGGGATTGAAGTTATTGGATATTGATGAGAAGCAGCTAAGAGATGGAGCTTGTACAGATAACAATCGGCTGAGGGAGTATGGTATAAGGCGTTTGACGGCTGCTGAGGTTGAGAAGATAATAAAAAACAGAATCTATGAGTCGTAATATATATAAGGACTAAGGAATAACAGATAGCAGGGTTGAAGTTCGAAATGAGTTGTGAAAAACCATGATCACTTCGTACGGTTTTATTTCATACAAATTTTATTACTGTGCTAGTTTTTTTCTCGTTGATTGCTACAATTAGGGTATACCAGCAAGAAATGCGTTGAGGCGGTTTGATTTGAAATTCCAAGGGGTACTCTCCTATCCTTTTAAACTGAGAAAGAAAAAATAGCCACTTCGTGCAAGAATTTAACCAAGAAAGCAGCTTTTTCTCAAGAAAGCTGTACTGTGCTACATCGCTCAGAACTCAGAATATCATCAGAACTGAACACAGTGAAGGCCGATCAAATCATTTTGTTTTTGACAGACTGCCTCTTTTTAGTGAACCATGCCTTTCCGCCTGAACCTGACAGTTCCATTTTGTGTGTGTAGTTGGAAGGTGCCTGCTGGCTTTGCGCTTTTCTCAGAAGACTTAAGCATCTCGCCAGTCGCCAGTGGCCAGAGTGCAATTACGCAGTTGTCAAGCGAGAGAAACCCAAACCACCCACCCCTATCCCGCGGCGTAAGCATGCAGTCGCGTACGCTCCTCGGCCCCAAATCTGACCTGTGCTCGTGCCGCTCACACGTACATGGCTGGCCAAGCCAAGCAAGCACACCCCCAACCGAAACGTTAAAGCGTAAGAGGAAGCACCGACTTTTTGCTGCAAACGAACTCGCCCTAATCATGCACCCCTCTGCCTCCCGGCCCCAAACCTCCACTGGATAATGCTGTCACCCACCTAACCTGGGCCTCGAGAGAAAGAGATTAACGAGATGCGAGATTGATTTTGATCGGGACGTATCCATCGCAGAGACGAACATATGGTCGAGAGGTTGGTCGGCTGAGCTGCCTGCCCTGCATTGCTCCTGCCCCTGGCTCGCGCAAGTGCGCGCGGCACTATTAGGTGCCTGCCTGCCCCGCGCGCAGGGGCAACCGGACACGCCATGCCGTCCGCCCAGCCGTGCAGCCCGGCCACCACCACCACCGGTCCCCCGCCCCGGCCCGCGCATTGGTCCCCCGCGACCGCTCGAGGTAGATCATCCCCTCCCCCCCTGTCCGCCTGCCAGCATCTGGTACACCTGCGCCGGCTGCGTGCGCCGATCAGGGAGCTTTGCGCCGCACTGGCTGCCGCTCCACCGGCAGCGGCACGGTGGCAAACCTAGCTAGTAGTAAGAAACGCACCATCACGTAAGCTATCCTCCTATCTCAGAATTTGAGATTTCAAGTTGGGTTTTCGACGGTGGATCGACCAACTGTCACTCATTCGATCGATCCCAGCGATCATAATCGAGAGGGCACATTTGTACTGAGGAGATGAAAGTTCCTAACGAAAATTAGGTGTGCACCCTGGATTTTGGACCAAGAATCTTGGAGTGTTGGTCCGCTGGTCCTTCGATCTCTGCAAAGATCGAGATACGCTCACTCGCTTTCGCTGTTCCTGCAGCTAATAGCCTACTGCTCCTGCATCCATCTGCTTTAGCCCCTGTCTTCGAACGACCATTCAGAGATCCAGACGTCTCGCTGTCCATCACCCTGTCAACGTTTACACCCAGGATACTTTTGATGATTCATGTTGGATCCACCGGCCGGACAGCCTACATACAGGCCACTGCGCTAGTACTACAGACAACTTGACGTGATTAATCGCACGGATCCTGAGCGTGACATCTACACGTACATATGTTCAGAAGTAGGAGTGGTACACCCAAACGCGCGCCTACTTCCACGTGCTATGCAATCAGCAAAGAGACTTTCTTCGAGATTACAGTGCTGTTACGTAAACACGTCTGGTTGATATGTATCATCTCCACTGCTTCTGCTAATTTCTCCCCAAACAAATCCACATGAGTTTGAGTCACACTCACGTGCTGAGTCCCTCACGTCCAAAGGATCGAGACGCGATCGAGAGAAAAGGCAAAAAAGCAAACAGATCGATCGTTGCCGACTTGCAGCAGTAAACTAATCAACCGAGACCACACGTAGGGAGCACTACTCATACATGTTTCGGGACAGCTCATGCACGCACGCATCGCAGCAGCGGCGGCTTCAATTCTCCTACTTGCTACTACCTCGGGATCCATTTCAAGGAACGTGTGTGTACTTTTTTTCATTAGTAGATTGACACGCACGCAATTAACTATCTGCAGTATGAAAAATGCACGGTCGGCTAGTCGTACTACAAGGCGAGAACTGAGCCCGAAGCTGGAAGTCACGTAAGACCCAGAGCTTGAGACAGTGGGTCATCCGTGTATTAAACCGGTCGGTTTCACACACGCTGTACGTTTTCTTTTACAGCGCGCAGGTTCATAGAACCAAATTAATCAGATCACTGTCAAGTTCGCCAAAGTTTTAATGATTTAATATAGTTGTACTTTCTTACATATAGATTAATTAATTACTATCTTTGAACATACTGGTTTATTATGGCTTATTTAACAGCCTCAATCGCATGCAGCTACGTCGTATATACTACTCGATCGTATACGTAGAGTACTGAGTATACTACAGTACGTGTTGTAGGCGGAAGGGATGGGCATGGCTGGGGAAGAGAGGAGTTGGTTGCTTCACACGTCGGGCACAGGCACGTGTGGGAGCCCACGGGTGCCTTCCGCGCGGGGGGGCAGCCCATGCAGCCGGGTCCGCACCATGCAATAAACACCGCGACGGCGACGTCCGAACTCGGTCACTTCTTAACCACATGCCAACTTGCCCTCTCTTTCTTCCTCTCCTCCTACATCGGTTGCAGTTTATTTTTTTAAAAAAAAACATGACGCCTTGTATACGTCAGACTTTGTAGCTGAAAGACATGCAAGAAAGTATTGGTAAAATAGATGTTAATACATATGGAGCGAGTTTTGTGTTGATGGCCGTCAAAAGTGAGCTATAGCTAAGGTTAATAGTGGCCCGGACTAGGATGCATGTAAACATCGATCGACTTTAGTTCATCGTACATGCAGAAATCTAGTACCACGACTTTTGTGGTACTCCCTTCTCAGAAAAGCGGGGAACAGTACTGCCTCAGTACGCTATAATTACTGTTGCACAGGCAGCCTAAATATCACGTTCCGTTGGATGGATCGGCCAGCCGGAGGCAGCAGTGGTGCTGTAAATTAAAGCGACAGAGATTTCCGCAGGACAAGCTTTTCAGAAGCTTTTGGGCGCAGAGAGGACGGTGGATCGAACATGACTTGGCAGAGGGGCACGCAGCTACTGTTTCCTAACTTTACCGTACCCCCCCCCCCCCTCCCCTTTTTAGTCTTCGGCTAGGCCCCCAGCTGCTTACCACTGTACTCCCAGTTACTATTACTACTACCACCACCAGGGGAGCAGTAGTCCAGTAGTAGTTGTAGCATTTGCACACCACATCTGCATGGCCCACCCACGTAGTACTCCAGCTTTCGCGGCGATGGATGGATGGACCGCTGCGAGCACGTAAGTTACGTAGCCCCAAAAGGCTGGTTTTGGCAACGGCAGAAGGATAGGAGCCAGAAAGCTCTCATACCGGCATGCTCCATCCCCCCCCCCCCCCTCTCTTTCACACACGCACGCATTTGCCGTGAGCCTAGTAGCCTGCCATATGATCCAGCAGCATACTATACTGACATATTGTACTGTGCTGCTCCATGTAATACTCATAGCGGTACTCTGGTACTCTCTCCGTTCCGAATTATAAGGGCAGTAGCAGTGCAAGACACGTTGTACGTGTCTCTGGCCCATGTAAGCGACGAAATGGGCCCGTAAGCCACGCTTCCCATAGCGCTCGTGGCCAACAAAGTAATCCTTGACCGGTAGACCGCACAGCCCACTACACCATCGAAAAAATCTGGCGCTTCTCCTTCCAACCCCGTGCCGCTTCTTCTCCCCAACCCACCGCGCGCTTCTCCCCCAAATCCGCCTGTGCCGCTTCTTCCCATTCACCGCGCGCTTCTCCCCCAAATCCGCCACGCCACTTCTTCCCCAATCCTCCTCGCCTCTCTCTCTCAAAGCCGGGCGGAGCGGTGGCCCGAGCGGCGACGGTGACGACGCCGGGCTGAGCGGCCAGATCCGGTCTAGTCTCACTGGATCAAGGCGACGACGGCGAGCTCGGACGCGGCATCGACCTCGAGCTCCTCTCCTTCTCCGCGCTTTCCCCATCGAGCCAGTGAGCTTCTCCGACGAGGACAGTGGCAGCGGCACGGATCGAAGCGGCACGAGAGCTCCCCAGCGGTGTGGCGACGAGCTTCCCGGCGACATCGAGGTCGGCGCCGCGGAGCGGAGCGCGGGGACGACGACAAGGTCGGCGACGCGGAGCAGGAGACGGCGACGAGGTCGACGCTGGGGAGGGCATGAGGGAACGGCGAGCTGGAGGCACGCCCTCCACAGCGCGGGCTCCAGGCGTTCCCTCTGCCTCGCGCGAGCGAGGAATCGCGTTTCCTTGCTTGGGAGCGAGCGGCTCAACAAGGACGTGGTGCTACGCGACACGTTGGCGAAATTCCTAGCTGGCACATCGAGGTAACGCTCCACCTAGGAGCACTATGAAGGGCCTAAGGGATTTTGGAGGAATGTAACATATCCTAGATCTACAAATCTGCACAAGATTATATCCAGATTTATAATCTTACGGTGTGTTCGCTACTCCCAGTTCCCAGCCTGAACAGTATACATGGAAAACAGAGCGGTCCATTAACACGTGATTAATTAAGCATTAGCTATTTTTTTTTAAAAAAGGATTAATTTGATTTTTTTTAAGCAACTTTCGTATAGAAACTTTTTACAAAAAACGCACCATTTAGCAGTTTGTGCGCGTGAAAAACAAGGAAGATGAGTTATAAAAGGGGCATCCGAACACACCCTAAGTATGTGTCACATCCCTTTAAAATTCTTTATATTATGCCAGGGAGTAAATATTTAGCACTGTGACCGGGTCGTGGCTTGTTAAAAATAGGGCCTGCGCGCAAAAGTATCACGAAGCGTAGCACGCCAATCTCCAGGAAATTCGACACGTACTTGTACGCTTCCTGCATTTATCCGCAACGGAGTTAGTGTTACCCCCGTACTACTAGTAGTAGCTCCCTAAACCTATCGGGCGTTTCTTCGGTTGGTCCGGTCATTTCACATATCAGAGGGACAGATAGATACAGATGCTAGTAGCCGTAGGAGTGGCTACTGATCACGGAGAAAGATACACATAGAGCCTATAGAGAGCGACGAGTAGACACCACCGGTACGTGGGGCCTCTAAAGTAGTAATAATCTAACGGAGTGGAGGAGCTATACATTCTCTACTCCGCTATATATGTGGGTGATCGATCGATCGATCCATATTTAAGGGGCATATGTTGATGTTCCGTGGATATACCGGGCGCGGGCGACAACGGTACGTGCCGTGTAACGCAATCCCGCGCCAACGCCGCGTGTGAGACGGACCGGCGCCACGAGCCCGGCCTCTACCGATCCACCACCATGCACCCCTCCTCACCTCACGTGGGCCTCTCGCTCGCCCGCCCGCCGTAACCGCCAGCTGCATCATCACACACGACCTATCTCCCCACCTCCCGCGGCCGCGCGACCAGCGGGCGCGTCGCGTGCGCAGCCGCGGTGTGCGCGCGCTCGCGCGCGGGCGGGGGACGGAGGACGCCAGGACGGGAAGGAGGAGGCGGACCACACAACCCCAGGTGTAGAGTTGGAGTAGTACGTATGTGCAGGGGGGGCCCTCGGTGGCGCGCGATGATTTCGTGACATGACGGCCATTTTCTGGCCGCCGCAAGGGGCTGTCGCTCGCGCGGCCCGCCGGACCGGCCGGAGCCAGGCTCGATCACATGCGCCACGCGACGGTCACGTGGGGGTTGGCGCACGCTGTCCGCCCGCCCGCACCATCCCATCTGGCACCGCCGCTGGGCCTCCACGTCGATCGATCGATCGAAACGCCCCGATCGAATGCCCAGATATCTCTCACGTAGTACTATATATTTCTCAAACCATCCGGCATCTATCCGCTAATCAGAAGTACTCGGTTAGTTTAAGCCAGCGTACGCGTGTTGCGTCATGCGTAATCCCCCCTTAATTATCGTCTCACTTCTTGCCGTTGATCGTCCCTGGCTGTTCCTGTTAGGTATAGTGCTTTTATAATACACCCGCATACGATCCACAAATATGTCATACTATACTGCTGATTTGTTAGTTATAATTTGCAGACAATGCCGTGTGACATTGTGGACACGAGACAAAAGAGCGTGAGTTGTGTGCATGCATGTACGCTCTCCCGGCTCGGGCAGCCGGGGACAAGGGCATCTCTCTTGAGTGTGGTGATCGGTTTGTTTATGCAGCAGCGCGCATAAACAAGCTTTGGTCTACTTAAAGACTTCTGCACAGGTTATTAGATTGTTATTATTATTTTTCAAAACTTCCACGGGTTAGAGTTAGGGTACTGCACGTATGCTTGCAATACAATAGTAGCAAATGTTTCTCTTGTCCTTTTGCAACGGGGCTAGGGGTACAAAGACGCGCAAGCCAACAAGCGTTGTCCCCCTCGGCTTCCAATTTTGACGCCCCCGACGAATTGCAAATTTGCAAAGTTACACGCGTCGATCGGAACACTTCAAAATGGACTAATCGAAACATCTGCACTAACTAGCTAATGATTACTTACCGATCACAGTTTCAGGATATATAGATTGGTCCTTGGTCGACGTCAATTCATGATTTATTAGCATATTAGTAATCGATTAGTTCCACGAGCAAGCAAGAACAAAGTATGGCATGCATACATCAAATCGGAACAGAGCCAACCAAAAGCGAGACGGTTTCATGTACTACTGATGTATATAGGAGTAATAATGTAATATCCAAACCTTGGTTTCCATGGATTTTACGTGCATATAGCAAGCTTTCTAGGGTTCCCTCTTTGCTGGGTAAACCCGCTGGTGCGGCGCGGCATGGGCACGTGGCAAGTGGTGGGTGGTCATAGCTTATTATAACTGGGCTGGGCCCACAGGCTGCCTACCGGTGGTGGGCCACAATGTAGAGGGTCTTCTCCCGGTGATTAGACAGAGAGAGACACGCGGGCCCATCGCCCTTTTTCTCTACGGATCGATCGGTCGTTCTGTAATCTGTTCCGTAACAACTTTCTCTCAGGGCGGATGAAACTCCCTATGTTAATGGCGAAAATAAGTCATTGGCTAATTGCTACGAGGTTGTATAATAAATTACCAAATTAATTACCAGATTAATTAGAGTGATGAGAGATCGATCATGGTGGTTTCTGATTATAATGGTGAACATTAATTTAGAGTTGTATGCAAAATACAATTCTACTCATAGTAAAGAATAAAGTTAGAGTTAATTATACAAATGAATGCAGTGCAATCCTACATAAACAGTAGTAATCCCGTAATCGTGGATAATCATGCTGAAAAGCCGAATAGTTATGTACTAATCAGTCATCAATCCTCTGCGGCCTGATCTCCTCTCGGATGCTATCTAGCAGCCTATTTGCGTAGCGCATGTTAGCCCATCTCCTTATAAAAGACACCCTCTCCCTTTCTGTCTCCCTCACACACACTTCTCCCATCCAGCTAGCTTTTGCAGATCGAGCGAACCTTCAACACAAACCGGCCAGCTTGTTCCTCTCCTCTCTCTCTCTCTCTCTCTCTCTCTCGGTCGCAGCCAGCTAACTTCGAGTGTGAAGAACACTCACGCTAGCTAGCTTTCTCAAGGCCACATACGCTAGCTCCGCCTCCACGCGCGGCGTACGTCTAGTTTGATTGAGGCTGAAGAGAGTGCGTGTTTGGTAGAAGAGGCTAGCTGTTGACGATGTCGAGCAGAAGGTCGTCGCGTGGCTCCATCTCGGAGGAGGAAATCAACGAGCTCATCTCCAAGCTCCAGTCGCTGCTCCCCAACTCACGCCGACGCGGCTCCAGCCAGGTAGCTAACCACATTCTTGCATACGCCAACTGCTTGTGTACTGCTAGTGTGCTGCCACTTTGGTAGTAGCTATAGGTTTGCTTTCGGTGAACACAGAAGTGGCTACTACTAGAACAATCCACACACTACTATAGTCGTGTGTGTGGGTGGTGGTTTGGGGTTAAGCCCGTGAGCGATTCGGTGTGTGTTTTGTCTGCACGAGACGAGTAATGTGGCGTTAATGCAGGCGTCGACGACGAAGCTGCTGAAGGAGACGTGCAACTACATCAAGAGCCTTCACCGGGAGGTGGATGACCTCAGCGACCGGCTGTCCGACCTCATGGCCACCATGGATCACAACAGCCCCGGCGCGGAGATCATCCGCAGCATCCTCCGCTCCTGATCGGCAAGCAGCAGCAGCAAGCGGCACCGGCCGGCCGGCCGGCCTATGTCGACGACGAGATAGGCCGGGCCGGCCGGGCAACGCCCGCGGCGCCAATTAATCAAGCGTACGTCCTGCCGGCGCCATTCTCCGGCCACCAGAGAGCATTTAGCTAGGGTATATATATCTACATATATAAAATATTTATGTCGTATGTCCCTCCCCAAATGTACGAGCCACGCTTACACGCGCGTGTATCGATCTCTCGATCTCTCTCTCTAAGCTCCACTCGAAGTAGGGCATTAGCACTAGGGGCCTAAGCAGAGGCTTATCCTCGCTTTAGCTCATATTTTCATCGCTTGATGTGTCCTCTCTGAACCCCCACATCTTGTCTTGTTTGGTTTTTCCCTCTCCCTTCCAATCTATGTAAATTTAGCTGGTGTGGTTTGGATCGAGTTGTGTCCTCTACAGACAACCGACCGACCACTACTACCTAGAGGAAATTAATATCATCATGGGTGTACTGCTCCAGCTTTAACTTCAATTCAGTTGGCTACGTACTACGAGAAACCATACTGTATATTAGGAGTATATTTTTCTCACATATGATTAAGATATTCTCGCGCGAGTTCCCGCAGGGAGATCGATGAGCTAGATCGGTCGTCGGTTCTACATTTTCTTCTATCTGTACGCACGTGAAACCGAGCGCGTTTACTCTCGCAGCTAAAATATATTTGCATGATAGGCACCGCACGATCGAATTAATGCTGCAGCTAGGTAGCGGATATTGTTACGGCTGTATCGATCGACGCCGCCGGCCGGTAAGTTACGTTAAGTTCGTGGTCGACGGCGACAGTCGACGAGAGCTTAGGCTGCAGGGAGCATGTGTACGTACGCTTCCACTTGGACTTGTCTAGTAGCTAGGTCTCTGATCTTTAATCAGGCTGAAAGAAATAGATGAGGGGATCAGGAAAAAGGTTGGCGTCAACCGCCTTGTTTTTGCTCGGCCGTTAATGCCGTGGTGGCGCTGTCGATCGTCCTTAATTTTCTCTCTGCGACGCGCGCCCCCACATGTTATGGTCGATCGTTCGATCGGTGCACCAGACGAGACCAACCCAACCCCGGCTGGCAGGTGAAAGTCACCCTGGCTACAGTGACCTGAGGGCAAAAGGCATCCGGCTACCTTGCCTTGTATAGGACTACGTACGTGTACTACTTACACAAGTACTAGTACTAGTAACAATTAATCCTGTATTGATTTTACTAAGAGCAGTTACAATAATAGACTATAAGTCAGTTATAAACATATAAAATAAATAAATATAGAATAGAGAAAAGCAGCGAACCACATATTTGTAGCCAGCTACAGTACTGATTCTAAGGCACAATGTATATATTCATTGTATATGATAGGTACGATCATATATTAATAGTGTAGCATATATTTATAGATAACTATTGTATAAATTAACTATAAATGATTTTGAGCTAGTTGGCTATACGCTCTAAGTACCGAAATTTAGCGTGACAATCAATTTGGCTTTAGTAACTGTTCATGTATCCGATTGCGGATATAAGTCATAAATTCTAGTTTGCTTCTCAGCTTTTTTCACAGATATGAGAGTCTTTTCACGGATTAATAAAAGATATCTCTTCATTTGAGCAGTTTTCTTAATTATTGGGTACAAGTCTGAAATAACATGTATTTGAAATCACAGCGGTTAGCTAATTTGCAAGATATATACTTTCTCCTAAAAAAACACACTATTTTAGATATCGGCATGTTGTCTTCGAATTAATTACAGCTTCAATCACTACATTTTTACTGTGAGAAAACATGCACTCAAAAATATATTGAAGACTATAGCATATAAAATGTGTTTTTCGTGAAAATCTCATTTATGATTTTAGTGTATCCAATCTAAGGATTTGGATCAGCTGCAGTCACAATAGTGACTGCAGCTTAAGCAGTAGCAGTACTCATCATTAGATACAAATCGGGTGGCTCAGGTCATACACGATACTGTTTACAGTACAGTAGTAGTAATACTATAGCACGGGACACTGTTCACATGGTACTGTAGCTTTAGATCTGAACTGTTGATCACAAAAATGAATGGTTGAAGCTGTGTGCAGTTGTTAAAAGTGACTGCACCAGATCCCAATTCGTTTTCATGACCAGTGGCAGTACTTGCCGCATACGGCCGTCGCATATGCAACAAGTCAACAGGCTACGGACGAGGATCACTGTGATACATGTATCTTTGTGTGAACCTCATGCATTACTGTTCATGTTTCTTCTCTGTACATCACAAAGGGTGTGTTTGAGAAGAAGGGGATTGAGGAGATACGCAAAACGAGGTGAGCCATTAACTCATAATTAATTGAGTATTAACTATTTTAAATTTCAAAAATGGGTTAATATGATTTTTTAAATCAACTTTCCTATAGAAATTTTTTATAAAAAACGCACCGTTTAGTAGTTTGAAAAACGTGCATGCGGAAAACGAGAATCAATCTCCCCTATCTCCCCAGAACAGCCAAAGTCTAGATAGCCAGCAACACTGGCTGATGATAGCTAGGGCGCCGGACACCATTGCAAGCTTCTGCAAGGAACCCCACATGCATATGCATGCTACCAGCTGCGCAGCGTGTGATTGATCTACTTACGCTATCTCGACTAGAAGGCAGGCAGGGAAGCAAGAAAGGCATGACAATTGACTTGCTTTGATCTGAGGCCATTGCGTTGAGCACTTGACTATCTAGGCCAATGGATGGCACAGTACTACGTACAGCTTGGCGCTGGCAATATATGAAAAATCTAATGTTCAAGAGTTTGCTGTAAATGTTACTAGTAGTAGTTGAGAGCTATTGCTAATGTGATAAATGTTATATCAGTACTAGCTAGAAAACGGTGTACTAATAAACTGTAAACTGGAGTTCTAGCTGGATGCTCACTGTGAAGTACTACTACAGTATAATTCAGAAGCGGCTGAATTCTTACGCACAAGCTAAAGTGGAGCTCATCACATTAACATCTCGTGTGAATAAAACTATAGGAGTATTTAGCGTACGCCCTGAGCGGTCAAAAATGTGAAGACCAACTGCACATAGTCAAGATCTGACCACTCAAAGCTAACAACTGCCAGAAGCATCTTTTCACATGAAAAAGTACTGCTAGTGTAGTAAAAAAAATCTCTGTCTGGGTACATATTTATGTTGCTAGCTAGGGCTGGACCAGCCTATGTTTCATCGGTGAACGCTCATAGGCCAGTGTTCCTGTAAAGATTTCATCTGGGAGAAAATATTCAGTACACTGCGTTGGGAAAATATTGATCGCATGTGTGCGAGCACAAGTGCACAACACATACAGTACGTTGGTCGAAAATCGGTTCAGCTCTGCATGAACCCCAGACAGTCAGATAAGTAACGTACGTACACTAGTAGTACGAGAGCTACAGTTACTTGAGCCATGAAATCGATCGATCGATCGCATCGAAACGAAATTTGCAGCTTTGCGCTGGTAAACAATATTCCTGACACTTGCAGTTCTGTTAAAGTCTCGGCGCCAGCTATCCTGTCAGCTTTCCAACTAAAAATGATTGCCCGTGCTTTGACTCCTCCACACCAGCAGTTCGTACGTGCCATCGATCTCTAATCAGCCAACGATCACGTACGCCGATCACTCGATATATATATCTTGCACTGTTTGCACGTATAGATCGATCGATCGATCCATACCGGTATACATGCATGCACGCACGATCGACGAAGAAATGGTACGTATAAGTACTTGGTAATATATAGCACGTACTACGTACGTATGTGCATGTGGTGTAGCTGCGTCCCAGCAATGCAAGTACTGTGCGCGTACTACTACTGCTGCGGCGACTATTCGTGTGGTGTGTGGCTCGCACTGTTGACATGTGCAGGACAGTGGCATGTGCCGCGGCAGTGCGGCTCGTGGCCGCTGGCGATAGGCGATAGATCGATGTAACTCGCTAGCTAGCTAGCTAGCGTCCGCCGGTTGCGCGGCCCCGGCTGCTGCCCACTGCGTGCTCAGTGTCGTGGGAGCAGCGGGTAAAGTGGGGGAGAAGGAGCGGCCGCTTTCGCCGGCCCCACTCCGCCCGCCGCGCGGCACGCAGCCGGAGACTCGCCTAACGGCCGGCAGCCCCTGCGTCCAACCACAAACCACCGCCGGGACCCGCCGGCGAACGATCGGTTGATCGAGAGATACTATACTATACTCCTCCTCCCACAGCAACGTAACCGCTATACACCGCGGATGCAGCGCGCAGCGGTTAAAGCGGATCGTCCACCACGACGACGACAAGCGGCGCGCGTTAATTAGCGCCATGCGTGTAGTGACTGGCTTGCCCCTACGGGCTACTGCGACAGACTCGGGAAAAGGCTACCGCTGCGAGGGTCCGACTCGGGATATCGGGGAAATTGTCGCGAGTGGCCGGCCGTGAAAAATCAATTAAAAGGTCCCCTAGCGCACGCCGCACGGCAGGCAGTTACTCTTCGTTCGTGCAGCTCAGGTTCAGGAGATCGTAGGGCCGGTGGAGCATCGAGCTAGAGTAGCTAGCTACTCGTACTAGGGGTGAAAACTGAAAAGGACCCCCAGGTTCATGCGTGCAAAAGGTGCGTACGTACTCCCTGTACACTGGTAGTACGCGTACGATTCTGGAACCTATGATAAAATGTGAGTAGTTATACGGAGCAGTAGTAGTAGCTTTTATTTTAGCTTGAGGGTACATATATATACGAACTACTCCTAGGTACGTTTATCTTGGCTTGTCACGCCCCTGCATAGTCTTGGCATGTTGTTTTCTCATGTGTACGATAAATGTGAACCTATGATATGTTTTTTTTTTCCTGGATAGCATGGGAACCCTTACTTTCTGAGTAGTTTCTAGGCGTACCGGAAGAGCGATACCTGTGAGGCGATCAGACGAGACCGTGCTCGTCCTAAAAAAAGATACTACTACGGCCACAGTCGTCGCCCACACCACACACGCGTACGCGATCGAGAGGGCCGGGGTCGTGGAAGCCACGTTCGGTTGTCAGTCAGTCCAGCGAAGAGAGAAACAGGGCGCCGAGGCAGCATGCAGATGCAGATGCGGGCAGGTAACGAACGGACTGAAACTTCCATGTCCTGCTGCCTGATGCTGCCGGCCGATTCGCGCCCTGACCCGGCGACTGGTTTTCGGGGGAGATCAGGTCCTGGCATGCGGCATTGCGGCAGCGGGGAATAGTATTATGGACCGAGGAAATCGTTGACCGCGGCGAAGGATACAGGGATCGTTTTGGACGCACGTATGGGTAGAATAGTACGTGATCTCTCCTGACGAGCTGTGGCTCTGGGATTTCTATCGGTGGCCGGTTTGGGCAGGAGCAGCCGGGGATGGGCAGGTGGCAGGAGCACGATCCGTTTTTTGACTTCCAGTTTCCTCTGCAAACTTCGCTTGTCTCGGCTCGTAGTCGGTGCTCAGATACATGTATGCTCCTAGTCTCCTACTCCGATCCTACATGATACTACGTACGGAAGATCCACGTTTTATTGGTGGAGGGGATTTTGAAGCAATCTGATTGGGTTTCTTCCACTTGCTGGACATCTCCTTCGCTCTCCCGCCATAGGATATAGCCTAATAATTTTTCTATACATCTCTCCATAAATTTTCTATAGCCTAAAAATTTATCGAATATTTTAAATACAATATGGATATAATGTTATTGCATGTAATTGCAAAGTGCGCGCATGAGTGAGAGAATTCAATCCCACGAATGTCTGCTTGATGGCAACAAGTTTATTGTTGCAAGTTTTGGAACATAACATATAAATTATGTTATAGTTACATCCAAACTATAAGGTACAATTACACTATGATTGTACATTTGTACTGATAAATTTTGAATTATGGATATTCCCAAGGCAGGATAAACACCTTTGCAACGGTATTCTCTCCTGTGAACGATGCTTTGTTTGCGAGCGCAGGTAAGGCCCTGTTTGATTCAGCTTAGGATTATTATAATCTAGCTTATTAAGAGTAAGCTGAAACAAATAAGTAGATTATTATAGCAGATTTTTATAATCTATAAGCCAGATTATTATAATCTAATAAGCTGCTCTAGAGGAGCTTTTTTCAGATTATTGAGTGGCTAAAGACCCACTACCCCTACATACTTAAGAAAAATTACCCACCTATACTATCAACCGAACAGATAGCTGAGGGCATTATAGACTTTATCCTTTCAAACCCAATAATCCAGACAAACAAACAACTCACAGCTTATTTTATGTCAGCTTATTATAATCCAGCTTATAGTAATCTGGCTTAATAATCTAGATTATAATAATCATAAGCTAAAACAAACAGGGCCTAAGGGGTATAGCCTTTCAACGGCCCAAGGTCACACTGTTTTATATGGCCTTGACCCAACAATCAATTAAAAACAAGAAGGAAAAAGTACACCGAAGGTCCCCCAACTTGTTATCGAATTATAAACTCGTCCCCCAACCGCAAAATTGGATACAACGCAACCCTTAACTTACAAAACCAGTGCAAACTAGGTCCCTCGGTGGTTTTGACTCTGGTTTTGACCAACGTGGCAGCTGACTTCGTGGGACCCACGTGGACCCCACATGTTAGCCTCTACTTCCCCTTCTCCTCTTTCAACAGGCGACGAGAAGGCTGGGTACGGCCGGCGCGGCGGATGGCCGGCACGGAGGAGCTGAGCGGCGCCGGCGCGGCCCGGCGGCGGGGGAGGAACTGGGCGGCGTTAGCAGCAGCGGGGGAGGAGCTGCGCGCGCGGGCTGCCATCATCGTCATCGTCGTCGTCCGCCACCACCCCGCTCCGCGCCATCGGCTTCCCGCGCCACCACCTCCCCGGCCTTCTCCGCCCACCGCCGCTTCCCCGGCTTCGCATCGGAGCACGAGCACGAGTCGCCGCTCCCTGGCGTCGACGGCTTCCTGATCCAGCTCTGGCCGCCCGACGTCGCCGAGGTGCTCGCCTCGCGCCTCGGCATCCACCCCTCCCTCCACACTCTCAACTTCGCGATGCGCTCCGCCTTCCGCGCTGCACACCCCGACCTCGTCTTCCGCCTCTTCTCCCCCGACTTCCCAGGTGACACCGCCACCGTAGCCTTCCTCGTGCGCGCCTGTTCCTCCGAAGGCTGCCCGCTCGACGGCCTCCGCGGGTGAGGAGCTGGGCGGCGTTGGGGAGGACGAAGGAGGAGTCGAGCGACGAGAGCGGCGCAGATGAGCCACTCGATGGACTTGCTTGGTCGGTTGACGCCGAGGCGGTCCTGGATGTCGTAGAACGCGATGGACGTTGGCACCGACAGTCTGATGCGGCGGTCACGGAGCCCCCGCGACGTCACCACCTTGCTGTGCTTGTCCTTCTCGCCCGCACGCCACCGGGCTCATCCGCCACGTCGCTGTCGTGGCCGCCGACGCCGACGAGCGCGCAGCGCGGGCGCTTGCGCTCCTTGCCGACGACGACCTCCTCCATGGCCGACGCTTGCGCTAGCTCTTGCGAAATCCGCCTCGGCTTCGTCTGCTCGATTTTAATGGAGGCTGCTTTAGCACCTCGTGCTCCTGCCGCCGCCTTCCCTCCTCTTCTCCCGTGTCGCCGCTGCCGCATCGCCGGCTGGCCGTCCGACCTCCTCGTCCTGGTGACCTCCTCCCCACCGCCGGCCGGCTTGCCCAGAGGGAGATGAGTGAGAGAGAGAGAGGAGGAAGGGAGAGGAGAGGAAAGATGGAGGTGATGACGTGGCGTCCTTATATGTGGGGTCCACATGGTCCCACGCTGACTCACCAGCCACGTAGGATAAAACCGGGTCAAAACCACCGAAGGATGTAAAAATTTGTAAGTTAAGGGATGTTATATATCTGGTTTTACGGTTGGGGGATGATTTTGTAATTCGATGACAAGTTGAGGGAGCTTTGGTGTACTTAAACAAGAAATCCGCGGAGGTGTGTAGCTCGCTCGCACTAAGCCCAACTCCACATGTTCACCACAGATAGGCCCATCAACATCGCAGAAACTTTGGACTCAACCGAGGAGTAAAGCCCAACAAACGGCTGCTACTGCTGCCGCGGCGCAGACGTGCGGAATAAGTTCACTTTGGGTCCGTCTATTTGTAGCCCAATCCGATTTTCGTCCCTCGGTCGCAAAACCGGGTACGACGGATTCCCCAACTTACGAAACCGTTTAAATTAGGTTCCTCGGTAGTATTGTGTCCGGTTTTTACTGAGGTGGCACCTACGTGGCTCCTTTTGATTTGGTTTTTGTCCAACGTGTTATTGACGTGGCTTATGTGGCAACTAGATAAAAAAAAAACGTGGGTCCCACATGTCAGTCACACACAAATAATAAAAAATGGTGGGCCCATAAGGACCCACACGCCATCCTCCCTTTTCTCTATCCCTCTCTATCCTCTCCCTCCCTCTTCTCTCGCTCTCCAAGCTTGGGCGGCATGGGCGGCGGCCGGAGCGGACGACGGCGGGGCGGAGCGGCAGCTGGAGCGGGCGACGGGGGGCGGATCCGAGGGGCGAAGTGGGTCAGGCGGCGGCTGATCCTCGCCGACACCTCGATCAGCAGGGCGAGAGAGTGGAGGCGACCGTTCCGCGATCCGCTGGAACCAGTCTGGCGGTGGCGACGGCGCCACCGCGGAGCCGAGAGCGGAGGACGATGCCAAGGGGGAGGACGATGCCGGAGGGGACGACGATGAGAGGACATCGCCGGCGCCGCGCGGTCCCCCTGACCCGCGCTGGCCCCCGCCGCACAGAGGATGGGGGCGTCGGCGGCGGCGGTGATGGAGGACGGAGGCAACTGGATCGAGTAGGCGGAGGAGGAGAAGGAGAAGGCGCGGCGCGGGAATCGGCACCCATCGTAGAGATGCGCCCCACCGGCGGCGAGTGAAGCCGGAAAGCGGGAGGAGGAGGAGGCGGGACGGTGACGGTTGCAAGGTCGACGGTCTGGTCGCCGTCGACGAAGACGATGGGCAGCACGGCCGTGGGCGGCGGGGGCGGTGGGGGGAGGCACGTGGACGCGCCCGCGCAGACCTTCGCCTCCGAGGACGCAAGGACGCAAGCGGCCGTGACTGGCGGCGCCGGCGCGGGAGTAGGGTGGCGGCGGCGTGCGGGGCTACAGGGCGCTAGCGTCGGCAGCGGCGAGGAGGGCGTCGGCGGCGCGCGGGGCCCCAGGGCGCAAGCGAAGGATGCCGCCGCCCCCATCTCTAGTCTTCTCCGCCGGCGCCCCCAACTCGCCACCGAGGCAGCCTCGCCCCCTCGAACTCGTCGGCGGCGTCCGCATCTGACCCTACCTCGTCCTGGTGGGAGACGGCGAGGTCCCACATCCTCGCGCTCTCCAACATCCTCCCGCCGCCGGCCGATTCTGACGTCGCGGCGCTCGCCGACTCCGACCGCTCGGCGCACGCGCTTCTTCAGTCACCCGCGCGCCAACGGCGCGCTTTGGTCGGGGGGCGGCGCCGACCACGCCCGCCGCAGCCGCTGGAGCTCGCCTGCTCCGCCACCCAGAAGGAGAGAGAGAGGGGGGAAAGGGAAGAAGAGAGAGAGGGGAGAGGGAGGATGAGAGGAGTGAGGCTGACATGTGGGGCCCACATGGGCCCCACCATTTTAAAATTATTTTTTGTGTGCAGCTGACATGTGGGGCCACGCTTTTTATTATTTTCCGGGATATAATTGGCACGTAAGCGCCACGTTAATGCCACGTGGGGCGAAGACCTAGTCAAACAAGCCACGTAGGCGTCACGTCAGCCAAAACCACCTTCAAAACCGCCGAGGGACCTCGTTTGCCCGGATTTCATAAGTTGAGGGATGGGTTATACCCGGTTTTGTGGTCAAGGGATGAAAATCGGACTAGGAGACAAATAGAGGGACCCAAAGTGAACTTATTCCCAGACGTGCAGCGTGCCCTGACCCCCCTCGATGCGTCCGCCACTCGCAGCCGTCCAGAGCGGCGGGGGTGCCCGCCTCGAGATTGGCTCCCTGGGCTGCTCGCCTAGAACGTTCCAGTTCACCCCCCCCCCCCCCACCAACGCCAAACGGCGCGGATCCGCCCGTCCCACGGAGAGCAGCACATCACGGCTGTCCACGTGGCCGCGCCGCACGGGCCGCGCGTCTCATCCATCCCCTCCCCTCTCCCAGCCTGGCACGCATCACGAGGGCGGCGTCGAGCACGAAGCGGATTACACGAGTGATAAACCTTAATCCGGATTTATAAGCGCGGATTAATTACCTACCTGCTTACGTCCTCCGTGCTTAAGCATCGGATCGTATAAAATCCGCCCAAGGATGAGGGGGGAGATAGAAAATAATAATAAGAAGAACAGATTGTATAATCTGGGTATTTTTCTCCCCAACTTTCCTCTCTCGGTTTCCCCGAGAAATTTCTTGTTGTTTCCCGCATCACTCCCCACTGAGCCGCCTCCTTGCTCGCCGCTCGCGTTCGTCGTCGTCTCGTCGTTTCCACAATCAATTTGACGTCGCCCCTATTTATGTCCTGCCTCGGTAGTTGATTCCTCCCCATTTCTGTTGCCTCTCGCGGTTGTGGTAATCGACGCTGTAGGATTTTTTTCTTCTTCTTCTTTTGGGTCTTCGGAGGAGGCGTCCGGATCTTTCGTCCCCATCGATCCCTTCCGGCCACGGGTAAGTGTTTCCTGATTACTATACTTGTTTGATTCTTGCATGCTCTAGGTTTCCTGCTGCTCGATATAGTGATTATGTGGTTTTCGTGATAATTTGTTTAGATCTAGCTGGATGATTCTCTTCGTAATGATTTTTTTGCTTCTCTTATCCTGTAGACATTTCGTGGGTAGAGCGATTGATTGGTGGCTTAGGGTTAATATTGGGCAGGAAATGGAGAGCTCTTTGAAAGAGGAGAAGGCTGCGGGCGAATCAGGGGATGATGAGAAGGCGGAGAGGAGCTCCCCTATCAATCTGAATTCGTTGCCAGCAACTGCGGCGTGTGCGGCGACCGCCCCGGATGAGGATGGCTTGCACTCTGCAGTGGAGTCAGGAGCTAAGGATTCGAACACCACGAAGGGAGTTGAGTCTCTTGGTACTGGTCACAAGAAGATCCCGAAACGTGAGGTAGTTGATGAAGTTGATGTTCAGACCTGTGCCGAAGGAAAGAACGATTCAGTGGTCCCTTCAAGCAGCAAGAACCCTATCAATGATAAGAATGCAAAGGCAAATGTGGCAGAGAATGGACAGTCTGCTGATGGTATCCCTGAGGATCAGAGAGTTACTATTCTTAGTGTTGTCAAGAAGGATGAGCCTGCTGATGATGTTAGAGATTCAGTTAATCCTGTAACAGTCGTAGGTTATAGAGATGAGAAGGGTGGAACTAGTGGTACTGCTGGAACTACGGCTGTGCGACCTGCAGGCACCCGGTCATCTAGTTTCCATGGTGTGACCAGGTGAGGTTGTTGGTTGTGTTCTTGTCATTAATAGTTGATCAAGTGAGGCAAAACGATGCATTCTGTCTGTCCCTTTACTGTCTTAACCAGCCAAATCATTCCTGTTCTAAGCTTAGAGGGAGGCACTCACCAAAGTAGCACTGATTCTGCAGGCATAGATGGAGTGGAAAATATGAAGCTCATCTGTGGGACAGTTCGTGCAGAATGGAAGGGCGGAGAAGAAAGGGAAGGCAAGGTATTCCATCTATTTTAAAACTGTCGGTGCAGCAGTAGATGGTTTATTGGCTGAATGGTTAGTACTACCTCCTTCCCATAATAAGTGAGTGCATCTCTAGCTCTGGGCCTCTCCAGGTACAGAGCCAAAGATGCCATTCTTATGGGACAAAGGTAGTACTACTTTTTGCATCTAATTTATTTACAATATCTGTTATATTAAATTATTTGATGGCATTGCCAGAACACATATGATTAACCTATAAATATAAATAATTGTGAAAATTTTAGATTATGAAGGGATTATAATTAACTTGCGTAATATTTCGACCATCACTTTCTCTATATTCTATTTATGCTTTGTCACTTTGCAACCGTTATTGGCTAATGTGGTCAGCAATCAGTATCATTGTAACAAACGAATCAGGATGACTAAGAATTAGAGCACAAGGGACACATTTGGACTGTAATTCTTGGGACACATTTTCGTGAATATGAAATAGATTCTCCAAAGGCATTGTTTTTCTGTTTATGGACTTTTGGTGATATGTGGGACATGAATTAATTTTTTGTTCAGCATTTTACAACTTTGCTATCTGTACTAGTTGCTCATTTGCATTTTGAGACATTCCCTAGCTTTTATCTGATTAACTCACTGCCAGTTAGTTACGGGCTGCACACCTTAGCTACAGTACAATTATTGCTTACTGTTGGGGGAGCGGCTTCGACCTCGCCCAGAGGGGGATGAAGGGCCTCCTTCTTCTCCCGCTGATCTTGCCCTCGATGGGCTCAGAAGCGGAGGCCGCCCTGCCGGGGTGGGGGGGCTCCGAATGCTCTGTCAGGCTCCGGAGAATGTGACCCGTAGGGGGACCCTGGAGCCCTGCGTCTACCCCGGAGGCAATGGCCGGCACAAGATCACGAAGAGCCTTAATGGTGCATTGAAGGCGGCCAACTACCTTTGACACCAGTGGCTCAGCACGCTGGGTGGAGGGCGAGGTACCTCGTTATCGTGCCTTGGCCTCGAGTAGCGCACCCCGGGAAACACGGGATCCCCCAGGGATGCTGGCTTAATGAGCGCAATCCCATCCGATGTCTACCAGACTGCCCCTGAGTGGGGGCCACCTGTCGGTCACCACTCTTGAGTTAAGCCCAGAAGGGCCACCCCTGTCATTTCCCATACCAATGTAAGACTATATAAGGATGTAATACGTCCCCCATTGGGGGGGGGGGGGACGGTGAATGAATAGAGAAAAAACACATCCCTTCTTCCCCTGTGCTTGATCCCTGTTGGATCTTGTTCCAACACCTACCCAACCAGCAAAGTGGAATGACTCAAATAACTGTTGAGCAGGCCACAAAATAAGTCTGATACACCTAGCTTCTGGCCCTACATTTTGATTCGGTTGGTAGAAATAATACAAATAGTCATAGCTACAAAAGGAATTGCATTTAATGAAACCATACATTTTATTGGCGCGTGGTGCAATCTAAATTCCTACTTTCTATTTTTCCCCTTTCTGTTGCAAATGATAAAATATATGACTTATATACACATTTGGTTATTTCTGAGTAGTTGGTTACTAATGATTTCTTTGTTTCTTGCAATGATGTTCCCACATGGCGGTGCTTCAGTTTATTTAGGTAAGCGGTGTTTATTTCAGCTCTGTTCTGTCCTAATTTTGTATGTGTAGGGTCTTTTCTTTTCCCTCAACATTTCCTACTATGCAGGAAGTTATGATACCGAGGAAAAAGCTGCCAGGTCATATGATGTTGCAGCTCTTAAATACTGGGGCCAAAATACAAAGCTGAATTTCTCGGTAAATTCTTAGTTCTTTTCCTCCCTTTGCTTTTGCCTTCCAGTGACCTTATGAGTCAATATCTTCCAGGTTTCAGAATACGAAAGGGAACTGGAGGACATAAGGGACATGTCTCGAGAGGAATGCGTAACATACCTAAGAAGGTATGTAATGGATATATCTATTCATTGTGCTACTCAGATGGTTGATTGTGTTAACAGTTTTTTTTTTCTCCTGCAGAAGAAGTAGCTGCTTCTCAAGAGGGGCTTCTATTTATAGAGGAGTTACTAGGTGACATCTCTTTTTCATTCCCTTCAGTTTGTTGCCAAGGCTTGTTTCTTATTTAAAAGTTTTACTCAACTCTGCTAAACCATGCCCCTATTATAGAAGGCAGAAAGATGGGAGGTGGCAGGCACGCATAGGACTGGTTGCTGGAACAAGAGACATTTACCTGGGAACTTTCAGTACGATGCACATGCCTGCTTCTAATTCTTCCTGTTTTGTGAGAAGGAAAACTATTTTTCTAATGATTTTTCTCTTGTTTGTACCAGAAACTGAGGAAGAAGCAGCGGAGGCTTACGACATTGCTGCTATTGAGATCCGTGGCAAAAATGCGGTGACCAACTTTGATCGAAGCAACTACATGGAGAAGGGTATGCACTGTATAGAAGGGGCAGGCTTGAAGCTGCTTGCGTCTAAGCCAGAATGAAAACTTGACTTGGTGGAGCCGCATCGCATATTAGGGTTGTTTCAGTCATATTTGGAGCTTAGTGGTACATACAGATACAACTGGTTGCAGCTTGTTAATATCTCTGCGTTATAATCTACAAATTACAGCTCAATTTTCGATTGACTAGCAAATTCGTCTCAGCAAGAAAGATTTTGAGCATGTATTATAGGTTGAGTAGGGTAGATCTGTACAACACCTGAGCAACTCAATATTTATGTTCTGCTCAATATAACCTATCATTCCAGATTGTATGTTCCCCGTTGTCATTGAAAATGACTGCACGTTTGTGGGGATTCTTCTGTTCAGAGTTCACATTCTCGATGAATTTCGAACATCCTGAGCTGGCTCAAAATGTGATTCTCAAACGGTTTTGTTTGAAATCTGTTGAAATTCATTCAAAATTAAGGGAAAATTGATGTCTTGACAGGGCTGGAAATTCAGTAGCCAATCGGGAGTGTTTACCCTGGTTTTCTGTCCGGTATAAGAGTATAAGATGTCATTAACAAAACTGCTTATGCATTATATTGCTCGGATTGGTGGCTTCCACGATTGAGAACCTTTTGGAGTGTTTGAAACAAACATTTCTGATTAGAGTGCTATCATACTCGTAAGTCGTTCTTACGTTGGAACGGTCCATCCGGCAAGAGCGGGGCCAGCGGTACAATAGAGTAATTGGTGCTAATTCTGTGAACAGATCGCCTCATATGTGTTGCTAGACAGGACCAAACAAAATTCCCAAATCAGTTGTCTGCAGATGCTGTTGTTCATTCTAGCATTTTCATATGATAGAAGCCAAATCTAGTTCACTAGTATTTATTACTTCATGGCAAGAACCCTGCATCAACAAGAGTAGCAAGAATACTCGAATCCTAGAACCTATTTACACTAATCCATGATCGTTTGAACACATACCCCATGAGCATAAATTTGATCCTATGAACCCTGCATTAAAGTGAAATCAAGGCTCCCCATGAGTATTGCAAAAGGCACAGGTAGTACAACGAACAAAATGAACCAGCGCTCACCTGACTTCTAGTACCGATAATTTTGATTGAAGAAAGGATTCTCATCCCTTGCTTCTGCTTCTAGTTCAGCCTTGGCTCTTCTTTCAGCCTCTACCTCCTCCAGAATGGAGCGCCTTGTGTTTGAAGCCTTAAACTGCATGAATTGAAATGTTATGTGCCAAAGATTAAAACACATAAGTAGGTTGCACTCTGATATGACACCCAAAAAGAAAGGTCGCTAGCAGGAGACAAAAAGGGGACTACTTCTGTTCACAGAAGAATTCTAACTTTAAATGGATCCATAAGTAGATAATACCTTGTTAACCAGACTTTCAAACGCTCTTGATCCATTTTGTTCAATGTATCTCTGCGCAGCTGATATCACATCATCGGGTCTATCTGACTCATCCTTTCTTGGGATGTACCAGATATTAACTATTTGCTGGTTGACAACCATTGGCCTCACAAAGTGTTCATAGACATGTGCAGCACCATTGAAGTAGGGCAAGACCAACCAGCAATTGAAAAACAATTTAGCATAAGACCATAAAGGAAGCCTGCAAACATTCGTCTAGAGTAAGCATATCTTTGTGCATTACGAACACCACTCCCTAGTCTTCAAATAATAACAAATTCTACCACTAAACCAGACAAAGTGAAGAACAAAGAAATTCATTTGGTAGAAAATGGTACTTGTATTTATTGTTCTGCCAAGAATGTTCTAAAATCACAGGAAATATTTCACGGAAGTAGTAAGATTCAGAATGCAACACACTAGACTAAAGGCACCAATCAAGAACAAATAAATTATGAAAATAATCCCCCAAGCTGTGGAAGAACCTTTACCATTCAAGTACCGGAGAAAAAGTGAGCTCAAATAGAGTGATAAACGAGTACAACACCCAGTATGTGAGCCATTGCTGATCATCTACAGCAGATTTTGTTTCTATCGCTCGAACAGATGCATATCTGTAAAGGTGTCCAATCAGAACTAGAATGCAAGAAGTATGTATTTATTACATACAAAAGAAAGTGCTGGAGTAACTTACAGTGGATAAGCAAGTGAAACTATAGGCCTGCCAAAAAAAAAAAAAACCCAGCTTAGTGCAAATAGAACTGAAACTTCCTGAAAACCTGCATCAGCTGCATTTAGCAACTTACAGCATGATGATTGTCCCTTAGCTAAAAGAAAGAAAGCTAATTATTGTTTAAAGGTTATTACTTCCAGTAAGTTGGGAAACACCATTGGTGTGGTGGTGAAGTCGTGAGTGCATGACTCCACCCACCATGATTAAACTCTTGGTGTCCACACACATTAGTTGGTGCAGAGGTTAGAAGTTATAGTCCTTCGTCCAAAAAAAACATCAAGTAAGTTTCGTATAAGTTGAATTTTTTTCTTTACAATTCGCTAATAAACTAAATGAATGAGCAACATCTTCATGATGGTAGGCAATTACTATTACATCAACAATAGAAAGGCACTGCTAACTAAAAGCTGTATACCAGCATCCTATGGTTGAACATTGTGAGGAATCTTATTGTCATTTTGTTTTGGAAGTAGGCAAAAGGATTGCGTGTGAGAACTCTTACTAGATGCTGGAAATACTACGAACAGCATAATCAAGTCAAAAACTCTTATCCTTGTAATGTAAAATCCTAAAAATTGCTAAGTCGTAAGCTGCAGGCCTGCAACATTGCATAATTACATACTTCTCGTAGCTTCATCCAGTAGTATGACAAAATCAATCCTCTCAGCAATCCCTACATGGTCTTCCGCTAGCTATCCCAAAGAGACGGTTACTTTGGACAAAATCGCAGCGCAGAACACAAATCCTACCAAGAACACAAGAGGAATCTACCAGGGATCTCCGCTAGAGGTTAGAGAGAAACCAGAAAATCTTTCAGATCAGAAGAGCATACCCCGCAAGAACATCCAAGTTCTTTACCACCACCTTGAGGAAAGATCCGGATCCGGAACCCATTCCGCCGCTCGTCCTGCTCCCGGTCTCAAGCTGCGAAGTGCGAATCCAAAGCAGCGAGGAGCAATGCAGGTCGGTTTCAGCCGCTGGGCGACCTTTTCCCCTTTTTATCTTTTTCTTATTTGGTTTCTTCACCCTTTAGCCAACCCACTCCTCTTTCTTGTTCTTTTGTGTTGTCTGCCTGCTTTGCTGACGAGCACCTCCGGTGAACACGTGCACGACGCGTGGACCTAGGGTTCTGTAATTCTTCTGCGGTGTACCAGATGGGCCGAGAAGCGCATGAGATGGGCTGGACCGGTCCAAATAGATGCAGATGCAAAGTGTGGGGCCCAATGCGCATATCAATATATGGGCTAATAAATTTTCGGGACTACCTATACATTTATCGACAAATTTTCTCCTAAAAATTTGACAGATATAATTATAGTACAATTATAGTGTAATTACACTGTAACTTATATGTAATTACATTGTAACTTGCATGTAACTACAGTGTAACTTATATATGTAAGTTTCACATAATTTTGAATCGTTAGATCTATTACAATATTTGTTTTGGTAAGGAAGAAAACAAATCATAGCACACACATATGTGAAAGAAATTGTTCTCATGACCTCCACTTTACCAAAATAACATGTTACAGAGAGATTTTTAAAAGTTACATACAAGTTACACTATAGTTACAGTGTAATTACATGTATGTTACAGTGTAATTACACTACGATTGTACTGTAATTACATCTGTCAAATTTTTGGAGGAAAATTTGTCGACAAATATGTAGCAAAATCGTAAATTTTCTTCCTTTCAGATGAGTTTACACGGCCACTTAACACGCATAAAAACCCTAGTTTTTTTTTAAAAAAAGAAACTATAAGAACATTGTGGCGATACAACACACTTCTTTATGGAATATTTTATTAGGAACGCAGCGTTCCTAATAAATTAAAAGACTATAAAAACCTAGTGGTGATACATTACACTTCTTAATGGAATACTTTACTACAATTAGGAAACGGAAACAGATAATGACGGATGCTAATCTAATCGTGCCTATGTACACCCGTTACCCCGTATAGCATCCGATCTGGCTCTGCTGTCCCAACACGTCTACTCTGGCATGTACCACTGACGACGACAGATGGCCGGCCGGTCGCACGGCCGGTTTCCCCCAGTGACACCAGCGAAAGAGAGATTGGCTCGAGCGAAAGGCGAAAGCGACTGGCCCGCGGCCCGCTCGTGTTTGGTCCGCGAAACTTTCCAACCTTCCTCGGTCGCCGGCCTCATCTAAAGATCTCTCCTACTCCTCCTATCCTGCACACGCGCGCCGAGAGTGGGGGCGCGCGCGGAGATCGCGCGAGTAAATTTACGGTGGAATGGCGCGCGGCCGGGCGCGAGGAAGCTAGCTGGGTCGCGGTGCACGGTCATCACCAACGTACCGGGCCGGCCGCGCTAGCTGGGGATCGGAGCAGCGCTGCTCGTCTGGTGGTGAATCGGCGATATATAGTTCTCGTGGCAGCAGCATGCAGCCGTGCTGTCGGCTGTCGCTGTGGCCATCGATCAATCCATCATGCATGCATGCTGCGGCCGGCCGCGCGCTCCCCACTTGGATCGATCGATCTCTCGATCGATAAACCGCGACGTCTCTTCACGGTCGATTCCTCGATCCATGTGATTGACGGCATATCAGCATATATGTAGTAAATGCATGTCGGAGTAGCCGGTCCATGCATGGAGCATGGTTAGCGTTCTTAATTCAGAGGTGCTGTATAGTTGCATTAGAAGACACAGCAGGTATGTTACCAACGTTGGATCGTCTATATATCCAACTATGCACAGATGCGTGCGCGTAGCTCAATATCTAGCTCCTCCCAATTACGCCGACTTGTATATAGCTATCTGCTGCGATTTTTCCAGCCCTTTACCCTAGTAATATATATATGCCTGCAGGCGGCACGGAGTACACGAACTAGACTAGCTACAACCATATTTTTTTTTAAGAGTTGTTAACATACTAACATGCATACGGGGTGAAACTGCATGCTTGAGCCCACGCGTACGTAACAGACACGCACGGGCCCTAGGTTAATTAGCAGAGCGAGTATATATATGTGTCATATCATCTCTAGCTAGATCTGCTCTAGGTAGGAGTTGATTGATTGATTACGACAAAGAGAGTGCACGCCCGATCGATCGATCGCCCGGGCGGGCGCGGCAGAAAAACACCCGTACTCTACATCTTTCGCTTTTGCGGCCCATATAGCTAGCCCCTGCTCCTCTCATCGTGTTCCGAACTCGATCAATCCGCAAAGGGATCGAGAGGGAGCGGGCAATCATGCCGCCGGCCGCTCCTGTTTTTGATTGATTACTTTCCTCCCTCTCGCCGCGAGTAGGTACGATCGATCGAGCTAGCATGCCGATCAGCGAGCGTGGACCTTAATTCCCGTCTTAATGCGCTCTCGTGTGTCTGATCAGTGTCTGGCGACTGCAGCTAGTAGCTGCTATCTTCATATATCCGTGCATAAACGCATTTAATCACGTCGCATGTTAGCTAAGCTAAGAACAGTACCGCGCCTTAAGTTTGTCTTTATAATTTGCAGGTGTGTCGTTCAGTAATTCAGGCATCCAGCGGGTAGTCCTTCGAACAAAATTCGCGTATATAATAATGCCTTTATATTTTCTCTTTTCCTCTTCTTGTCTTGGAGATGCAGGGTGGGTCTTTTGGAAATGGGAATAGGCATCATATTTTTACCAAAAAAAAACAAATCATTTTTTAACAATTACACTCACACTTATTTATACTTTCTCCGTTCCAAAAATATAAGACACAACCACCACTAATGCGAAGAACAATAAATAATTATTAACATATTATCATTTGGATCACTTCAATAAATATAATCAATTAATGCATGCGTTCATCCAATATTAATTGAGTTCTTGAGGGTAGATGATTTTTAAAAACAAATTAAAAGAGGGAGATGCATGTGCTCGTTAATTGCGTGCTAGCGTGTATGCATGCTTTGTTTGTATTATGAGATATAAAAAAATGATTATGCTGTAGTGAGTAATTAAGAAGGCACAAGGCTTGGGAGGTCTACAATTATGGTTGTGTGTATCTCTAGTTAGTGGACACTCTCGAAGTTGCACTTCATATCTATAAATAAAAAATCTTGCATATAAAAGGGAGGTAGCGTCAAATATTCCTATAAAGGGAAAGAAGTGGAAAAAATCAAGTCAAATTAAGTGTGGCGTCATATACTCTCTCCGTTTTTAATAGATAAAACCGTTGACTTTTTCTCACATGTTTGACCATTCGTCTTATTCAAAAAAATTTACGTAATTATAATTTATTTTGTTATGAGTTGTTTTATCACTCATAGCACTTTAAGTGTGATTTATATCTTATACATTTGCATAAAATTTTTGAATAAGACGAATGGTCAAACATGTAAGAAAAAGTCAATGACGTCATCTATTAAAAAACATGGCGTCAAGTATAATTTTAAGCAACCATTTGAAGTTAAGCTATTCTTCCAATGATATGCCATAACCATTAAAAACATGGATATATGCGTTTTCTCAATTTATGTATTTTGAACTGAAGATTTTAAAGGACAGGATTGCACCGGTCTGTTCTAATTAAACGATATGTACGTATTAAATGGTCAGGGGTACAGTACTACGCCCCCAAGTTTAATAGGCTTTGGGGGGTATTCATCATTTAGAAGGCCAATTTGCAGAGTAGAACTAACCGATTAATTGTATGATGGGTTGTCAGCAAAAAGGTTAGCTCCACTAATTGTTCCAGCTGTGTATTAGATAGGATGCTTGTTTTTCTTTTTTAAAAGTGGATTAAGGACATTGATGATCTGGGCTAATGATTCATTTTCATGGAAAGGGATCACCTTTAACTTAAGTCACATAATCTTTGCATGCAATTCAAAGAAACCAATCCACTTCCCCCAGATTATTAAACCAGTTTAATTTTTTTGTTAGTTATTTGAGTGGATATGAGAAAAAATTATATGCCAAAAGTACGCTGATTTTAGAAGAGATAAATTAATAAAACCATACGGTTCAACGACAACTTTATCTTGATTTCGGTCGTGGAAGTAGCACGATAGTCGATTCTCGTGAAAGAGATCGAGACTCGAGAGGAGTCATATATATATATGTATGCCAACGACAAAATGGACTACGTACTAGTTTTAGCTATAGTCTGACTAACACCTAATTTGTTGAATTACGTACTACGTGTTAATAAAGAATTTTTTTAAAAAACGTGTTTATGTCCTGCAGGGGAGCAATATTAATTATTCTCTGACGGGTGTTGGGGAGGGCATGCGTTAGCAAACGTACGCATCTCTTCAATAGAGTCAGAGGCCCTAATTGATACTCTTCAGATAATTTACTTAGTCCTCTTTATAGTATCTATTGCACTAAACACCGAAGCAGCAAGGACCACTGACATCTGTTTTAAAAAATCATTAGAGTGTTCTAATCACATTATAATGACCTAGAGGAAGACAAACCTGCCTAGGAATGTTAGCATATGCATGCATGAGGCCAGTATCTAGCATATACAGGACAAGAATTACAGTCTCCCAATAGTACAACTAAAATAATCCGTATAGATGATTCAATTCCTAGCTTGATTCCTTCCTGTTTGGCGCCATTTGTAACTTTTCTGAAGTATTCGGTCTCTGAATATCTAGTGTGTTCTTGCTAGCATTCATTTATTCAGGCATAGGAGTAGATGTGGGTGGAAAATTCATTGCAATGTGGCAGGCAGTCGCTGGTTGAAACAAATTGTGGTCAGCCGAAATGATGGGTTGAGTTGTGCAATGAAAGACCATCATCGGTCCATCAAACGTAAATCATGGCGGAGTCGATCTCGAGGAGCAGAAAGGAGATCGAGAGGGGCAGCAAGCGCGACAGGCGAGGATGAAAGTTCAGTGAGACACAAAAACCTTTCTGAAAAAGGACTACAGGGAGACGGGGAGCAAAAGAATTATAGCATGCACTGCGAAAAAGCCACTAAGGTGGTGTTTGGTTGAAGGGATAGGGGATGTTTGGGAACTAGGGACTAAATTTATGTTTTTGTGAGAGGGACTAAAGTTTAGCCCCACTTTAGGTGGTGTTTGGTTGGAGGGACTAAACTTTAGTCCCTCTTACAAAAATATAAGTTCCTATCATAGAGACTTATATTTTTGTGAGAGGGACTAAATTTAGTCCCTAGTTTCCAAACACCCCCTACTATGCATCGCACACACTACACTATGCACAAAATCTGATCGCATAAAGCTGCTGTTTTGAGGTCGAAGACTGCATGCATCCGGCCCATAAAGAGATAAAGAGAGAGACGAGATGAAGAGAGCCCCCTGTTATACAAGCTCGATAGCTAGCTATGGCTATAGCCATGGCCGCTCTGAAGATTCAATTCCTTCTCCAGTGAAGAGACCATGCATGTCCAAGGTTCTCCAAGCTAAGTGATGGAGAAAAAGGCGCGCGATGCGATAAGTTAGTTGTTATAGTAGTACTTTACACTACTCATGATCCCTATGAATTCTCCCTGTAATTTTGGTGTCACCTCGACATACACGCACGCACCAGCTGCTGCTATCTTTTGAAAAGAAAAATGCGCACAGCCCTGACAAAAGCGAGGTCAAAATGAGAGCTCTCGCTTCAAAAGCTACCTAGCTTGCTCTTCAACTCATCAGCATGCAGCACATACGTACGGTTACTGAAATACATGCTGTATTTATATATATTTATTTATATATCTATGTACGCGCTGATTTCAAGAAGAACAGCGAGAGTACCTGCAGGGAGATGATGAGCTAAGCAGGATCTAGGAATGGTGCATGAAAGCACTAGAAAATGTCGCTGCCCCTACTTAATCATGAAAATGCGTATACTAGATGATTGATTTATGCACGAACCTTTGTTTTTTTTTTCAAAATTATTATTCGTTCTCGATCTCCTTGTTTACGTTGGTGCTCTTGAAGTGGGCGCTGGTGCGTGGAAAAGCCAGGCAGTAGACAACTAGACCAGCACAGTAACAGTTGGGTATTTGAACTTGTTCGAATGGCCTCGTTTGCTTTGTGTCCACCATAACCATTTGTTTCCCTCCTTGTGAGCCTACAGTGATCTCTCTCTGTCTCCCCTTCTCTCTCCCCCAGAGAGAGACATTAGCACATTACTGTCAACTGTCAAGTCCTATTCTTGATGACCCCTGTTGTCTCTCAGTGAGTGAGAGAGAGAGAGAGAGAGAGAGATGCTAATCAAAGGACAACAGTGTCATGCTAAATTGCGAAGCCTGTGTGTCACGTATATATGTACGTTAAGTCTGATCGGAGAGAGCATCGTCTAAACAGGACAAGAGCACATGTGTTTAGTGGCTGGGCGATTACTACTACAGCCTCTACTACTCAATGCACCCAATCTGCTCAACATGTGACAGCACCAATATGGCACAGAGAACAACCGACAGGTCCAGCACGTATTGGTCTCATCCTCTTTCCCTCCTGAACTCGGCAGCTGGACTGTGCTGACCTCATTTTAGCCAGATTATCATGCCACTGGTCATTGACACGTAGGACCCAGATGCTGATAGAGTCCCCTCACACGCATCTCTACTTGTCAGCGGACAAACGGCTTTATGGTTTTTTGAAAACCATAGCCAAGCTAAAAATAAGTGCGACAAACTTACATGGAACTACAGCTAATCATGTCTCACATGACTGACATGTGAGTCTAAACTGTTTATGCACCCCGCCTATGTAGAACCTCACATGTAAATAAACAGGACTTACTGGTGACTCAATGTTCAACTAGATCTACTAATCAACACGATAATTTCATATGCAGTTACAGTTCATTCATCAGCAACCACTATTATACTGGGCGCGCGCCTCTAAGGGACATGTGTCGAGCGTCCATCCACCCAACCCACTCTTCTTTTCTTTTTCTTTTTTTAATAAAAAAATCAGCCCCGGCATAGCCACCACCCAACCCATGCATGACCCATCCAAACAGTGTAACAATTCAAAACCGCGTACCAGCCAGCCACACATAACCTCAGCTAGCCTTGGCGCAGTTGGCCCTGCATATCTATCTGCGTCCCCAAGGTCGAGCAAGAAACAAGGGCAACACATGGATTCGGAAAGGTAACCACACATGCAATGAAAAAAAAAAAACAAGGCCGAGAAGGGCAACCCTGGGGCACAGGAGGCGGTACTAGTACTATCACCACCATATACTACTGCATCCCCCCCTGCTCTGCTCCCTGCGCTGCGCCCCTGCTTTATATGGATGGGTGGATGGATTGCATTGGGTATAGCTGCTCGATCTGACAGAGGGAGTGCGAGTGCGGAGATCGAGCGAGCGAGGAGATAGGTGGATATAGGAGGAAGGGAGGGAGATCGAGATTTGGGAGCGCGGCGAGCGAGAGCGACGGGAGACGACAAGCGCGCCATCAATGAGACGCCTGCTGCTACTGCTGCTGCTGCTGCTGCTGCTGCTCGCGCGCACCGGTGTACTACGTGCGCCTTGTGTTTGCTGCCGCACGCAGTACACGTAGCCGCCGCGCGCCCCGTGACGTTGGGTCGGGGGGATCGATATATCGATCGGTCTGATGATGATGCATCGCGCGCGGTGGTGACTTGGTGCGTACTTCACGTAGGTACGTACGCTCCGCCCGCGTGGGGGGAAATCATTGTGACGGCTCGCCTCGCGGGGCAGCGAGCGCGAAAAACTAAAGGAAACCGTACGGGCTGTGGCTCTTGGTCGTCGTCACTGTTGGACTCGAGTCCGCGCCTCAACGGGCGCCGCCCGGTCTCCCTCTTTCTCTCTCTCTCTTTCTCAATCTCTCTCTCTGTGGTCCACGGCGCCATCGGTTGCTAGCTTGGCTTCTCTGCAGGTTGTTCGCCCATCAGATGACAAAAACATTGCCACGCAGCTGGCCAGCCAGCTAGCCTCCCTCGTCTCGTTGAGTCGTTTTTCTTCATCGGGCCTCCTCCTGCTGGTAGAATGGCTAGTTTTGGAACGTTGTTTCTGTACACGGCCACTTGCTATACGCGTATGTTACGTGCAATTTTTTTTTCTTTTGCCTGCTTGATCGCGGAGGATGTCACGGATATGGAAGCGGATCAGTAACCGTTTAAAACCCTAACTAGCTCATGGTGACTGATGTTATATATCGATCAAAGCTAAGACAATATATGCATGTTAATCAAGGAACCAACGGACTCAATTAGCATGCAAAAATCAATGGTGAGTGCCTAGCTAGAAAAACATGGGAGAGGCCAGTATTACTACTGAACTAGCAATTGTGGAGAAAAAAAAATGAACCATCGTCATGGCATGCAGATAATGGATTGCCATGCTTGATAAAAAAAAATTTCTCTTCTGCTCGCACTCGATCAAACTCTAGAGCTAAATGAACAAAAAGAACAATCTCTCCGCATGCAGCTGCGTGCGTTTCCCTCCTCTTGATCCTCCCAGGCATCATCACCTCGCTCTCACCCATAAGCACAAGTTCAGGTAGCTAGCTAGCCTAGCATACGTACGTAAGAATGCCATGGAATGCAGCTAAGTGTGTGAGTCCTTGCAAGCTCTTGCCTAGGGAGAGAGTGGAAGGAAACCAACAAAAGAAGAAAGAATGAAACCAAGACAAAGAACAGATCAAAGTCACACCGACCGGGCCAATGCATGCGACGCGACGCGATCTTCAGAGCCCTACGAGTCGCTGGTGCTTATGCTCTGATGCCGCTCGCCGCCGCCGCCGCCGCCTCCGTGTTGCTGCTGGCTAGATCCTCCTCCACCTCCTCCTCCGCCTTGCTGACCGGCGGCATCCGTCGCCGCCTGTGTCCGGTAAGCATTGAGGGCGGCAAGGATCCCCATGTGCCCCTCCCCGCCTCCTCCACCGCCACCGCCGCCTCCAACTGGGCCGAGCCCCAGCTGCTGTCCCGGTAGGAGCGCCATCGGTGCAGGGAAGTTCATGAAATGTAGCCCGCTCGGAACGCTCCCCCGGTACACGGCGGCGGCCGCGGCGGCGCTGCTCATCTGCGGGAACGTCCAAATGGACTCCCCGCTGCCTCCTCCGCCGCCACCGCCACCACCGGACGGCCCACCTCCTTGCGTGCTGTTGCTCGGCACCATCCACACGGTGCCCGGCATTTGGCTCTGCGTGTACCCGGCCATCTGCTGCTGGTACTGTTGCTGCTGCTGCTGCTGCTGCTGCTGTTGTTGCTGTTGCTGCTGCTGCATTTCCTGCTCCCAGCGCCGCTTCCTGGAGAGGTCGGCGGCGGCGGCAGCGGCGGAAGGCGAAGGTTGCACATCGAGACCGACGCTGCCCGAGTGGAAGTTCAACAGAAGCGGGGACGGCGACGAGGACGACGAGGCGGGGCCCTCGGACGGGAACCCGAGGCTGACAACCCGGTCCCACGCGTCCGCACGGGATCCGAACCGGGCGGCGGCGGCGGGGCTAGGTAACGCGCGGAGGTGCGCCGGGGCGGACAGCGACGATCCGGAGGAGCGGAGGGAGATATTGAGCGAGGTGAAGTTGGCCGGGATGGTGCCGGTGCCGGTGGCCGCGATCACCGCCGGCTCCGCCTGCTGCAGCAGCCACTCGATGGTCTCGCCGTCCGTCTTGTGCCCCAGCTCCCGCGTCAGCTGGAACACCCTCGCCGCGCACAGCGCCGGCATCCGGATGCGCCGCCCCCTCCCTTCCACCTTGGTGTGCCGGTCCTTGGTGGAGCTCCGCTTCGGCGCCGCCTTCCGCAGCTGCATCTCCCCTCCGGCACCGCCCGGTCCCGATCCATTGTTCCCGTTGCCACCCGCCGATGATGGCCCAGTACCACCTCCTGCAGCCGAGCTGGAGCACGGCTGCTCCTCCTTCTTCTCAAGAAGCTGCAAGGGGAAGTTTGGGCGGCGGCCACCTCCGGCGTCTCCGGCGACGTCCATGGTCATCAATTAGGCCATGGTATATATACACAGATATAAACCAACTATACCTCTCTTTGATTGGATTTTTTAGGCTGGTAAGTGAGGTGGTTGTTTGGAAGAGAAGAGGAGAATGAATTTGATGTCTCCGGGCGGCCTGCCTGCCTCCCTCTCGTTGTGGGTGGGTCTAGCTCGAGAAGGTTAGGTGGTGCGATGTGGTAGAGACGGATAGAGAGAGAGAAAGAAAGAAAGTCCGAGAAAGAGCTAGCTAGCCATCAGGGAAAAGATATATTGTAGGTTGGAAAGAATCCTGCTTCCTCATATGATATGATGGGAGAGGGTGAGGCGAATGAAGCTTGTTGCTGCTAGCTTCTGTGTGCGTGTGGGGAGATCACACACTATTTTATGGTGTTTTGGTCAGGTTCATCCCCAGCTGGTGGCCGGCCGGGTGATCTTAGAGAGAGAAAGAGAGAGCTAGAGAGTAGGAGCAGATGACCCTAGGTGGCTAGGTAGCCAGGCCAGCCACTGGAGTGGGAGAGGGAGAGGGTGGAGGAGGAAGAGGAAGTGTACTTTGTAGTTTGTAGGGCATGGAGGAGGAGGAGAGAGAGATGGGTGAATGAATAAATGGATTCTTGATGTTGGAGGAGGCAGAGAAGAAGGTGAGGAGAGAGAGAGAGGAAGCTGGAGAAAGACTAGAGGGCATAGGTGGTGTACATGGAAGGCGACCGGTGAGTGAGAGAGATGGAGAGAGAGAGAGGAGGATAAGGCGCGCGGGGAGGAGGAAGAGGAGGAGAGGGAGAGAGGCCGGGGCCGACCGGGAGCGGGGAAATTATTAGCTTCACCTAGCGAGGAGCTAGCTAGCAGCTAATCCCATGCACAGTTGTTCATCAGTACTGTGGCAGAGCGTAACGTGATGTGTTTTCCCCGTTGCTAACTAACGATTCCACCAAATTATCTCAGATACCACGTGTATATGCCTCACTACTCTACTGCTCTCTCTCTCTCTCTCTCTCTCCATATATATCTATCATCAAGATGATAATAAGCTAAGCAGGAGATAATTCCGGAGGATTAACTGGTGGTGAAGAGAAACTAGCTATATATATCTTGTTCAGAGAATTGAATGGAAAGCAATGTTATATGCTTCCTTTCTGGATTGGCTGCTTTTGATGAGATGAGAGCACCCCAGACTCTTTAATTTTTTGCTGCCTCCCTTTTGCTGTTTGAAATGTGTTTCTTTTTTTTTTCAATTATTTTTCTCCTTCGTCTGTGTGCTTCTGCTCCTCTCTTTATTTTTTTTTTGTAAAAGGAAAAATCTTTAAACTGTGCAGATGCAGAGTCACTTGGCTCAGGCGCTCCACGTGCGGTGCTCTTTATCATTCATTCAATCCCCAAAGACTGCACTGTCCACTGTTGGCGCCACTCTCCAAGTCAAAATAAACATTGAGAATTTCCAGCAAAGGAGATTTTCTTTTTTTTCTTCCCACACAAAATTAAAGCCCATATCTTTTCTTGTAAGTTGTAAGTATGATGTATACATGTACTTAATTAGGTGTGATATTTTAGTCCCTTGACCTTCTAAATTATGGATTCAATGTTGGTGATTATTTCGGATGAAAACCATGCATTTTTTTTGGAAAATAATGGAAGAGCAGGGAGCAAAAAGAAAGAGGTACTCCTAATAAAGTAGGGCCAGCTAGACCAGTAATCATTCCATTGCCTTTTGGCCTTTGCTCCTCTCATCTCCTTTGTTTGCCAGCCTTAGAATCTCTAGTGCCCTAGTTTCTGCTGCTATGGACCAGGTGCACACAAGTATCTTATATGCATGCCATACACAACTTGAACTAGGAGTTGGGACAGAATGAAACAATACAGGAGGGAAAAGCAACAACAAAAAAAAGGTGATAGCATGTGTTTATATAGTTAGAAAGCTTCTGCTCTGAGTTTCCTATCACATATATATTTCTTAGATAATAGAAATATATTATATTCCCGATCACTGCCATACGGCATACAACCAAACAATCGGATAACCAAAGAACGATTAATCTTAATGGTACACAAGGATATTCTACAATATATGAGAAATTTTATCGTACTTCAGAAAGTACCTGAAAATATCAAAATTTTATACAAATCTTGAGATAAGTAATACCTGGAGGTATCAGGTTTTAGGAGGTATCAGGTTTTAGGTAATTTTATCATCCTTGAGAATGTATCGGGAGATACCATATTTTTTTTATAAAACCGGGTACCTCCAGTCACCAGATACCTTGGGTTACTAAAATTCTTAATGTAAAATTTAAGTACCTTGAGGTACTTTGTCAAGGGCCATAAAATTTTTCCTAATTTTTACACTAGAAAATATGGTAACTTTTGATATCTTCTTAAGGGTAAAATTACTCACAATATATACATATGAAAAATTTCGCCACGAGGCAATAAAGAAACAATATTTAATGTAGTACACTGTAAAAATATAGATTTGTTAGTGGACACTCTAGCTTTGCAATTCTTTGTCAGTAGGCACAATTAATATGTATTATTTTATCATTTGTTTGCCATTTTTGACATACAAATGAGGTGAATGGCCAAATCGATGGTGATGAGGTGGAGCGGGCCCTAGTTCGGGCCAAATGGAAATGAGAGGAAGCGGCAGGGCAGAATCGAGCATGCAGAGGAAGAGAGTAGATACTTGAGAATAGTACCAAGCTGAAGAACGGTTGAAGGATAATACGTCTGGTGTCTGTTGACGAAGAATCAAGAAGTAAGAGTATCCACCAGTAAACTTATATTTATATAGTGTCCCCGCAAAAAAAACTTATATTTATATAGTGTCCTACAGGAAAGACCTTGTTTTTTTGAAGTTTGCGCGCGCGGTATATCATTTAATTTGCCACATGTAATACACCCAATGTATATATTTATACGGTCGCAGGGAAAGACGTTTAGGATCTTAATAAGAACTCCAGTGGGTGTGGCACTTCAAGTGTATGCAATGCTAACTTGCTCCAATCTTACGACCTGCTGAATTAAGGCACCTGGACGTCTCTTTCCTTGTATGGGTTGATTTAAGTACCATTAATTATGAGTTCCTTCAGCAATATCATGTCCTTTAATGCATAGAATTACCCCTCCCCCTTTTACTAGCTTTTTTTTTTTTACTTATCTTAGGGTCCCAACCTGGAGCTAGCCCTTCCAAAACCCTAACTTTTTTCCTCTGACCATTTTATTTGGTGTGGGGCTAACTGCACATCTCTCATGACCTCCCTGTCAACCATGTTTGCCACAAGCCCACAACAATATTGATCACGAGATCGATGATTGAAGATATGGATGTAGGAGATATGCGTGGCCATAGGTGCATGTAGATCACCACAAGAATTAGGCTATCACAGTTGCTTTGCGTTGACCATGCTATTCTATCCTTAATTTTTCAGTTTTTCTGGTTCACTTTGAGCAATTTAAAATTACCGAATACGACCAGCAAGCTGCTGATTCGATCTGTTATATGTGTAAAGCAGCAGGAGTAGTACAATTAATTGTTGTTCTCCAGCTCCCCCCCCCTTCGTCTTTCTTTGTACATGTTGATCCTTATTTACATGCATGTACCTATTCCTTGATTGGCTCATTGGAATATTCTTTCGTGAAGATATTTCAAACTTTCCTATACATGTGAGGAACATGAATTAACTCTTGTCTGCATATAAAATACATGTCAGCCACCTCTTAGCTGGTGATGGAATTTATTACTCTTATATTTATGCATGACTGCAAGGATAGAGATGGCCAAAAGGAGGGCTAGCCCAGCTTCTAAAATCTTTTAGGCTGGATGGAAATCAGTTATATTTCTAGAACAAGTTTTGGCAAATCCATATGCAGATGGTGAGCTAGTCCAATTATATTACACAAACTAGCTAGGAACATGGAAAATAATTTTCACAAATATTAAGAGAAGTAGATATTGCAAACACGATTCAACAAGCTGGCGATCAATAGAAATGTGGATATAAGAGATGTGGATTAATTGTAAGGGTTTAGGATTTAGGTACTTCCCCATAGCCTTTGGATCGGTTTCCATAGCTCAATATGCCCTCTTGCACTTCCCCTCCCTTTCGACCTCACGCTCTTCCTTCTCCTTATGTTTTCTTTTGTCTTCTTCTTTTGCTCTTCGTCACATCCAACATGATCTCTAGCCCACCCCTTCATCTCGAGGAGATATTCCATATCCACGGTCTTGTGTAGGCACCACACGAGGGGCTAAGTCCTAACCTCCACACTAGTAGGACTGGCATTGAGTCGGAAGGTCAACACCAAGATCGATGGCACTGATCCCCTACACGGTGGCCAACTAGATCAACTTGGACTCCACGGTGGTAGGGGGTTAGCGCTAGTAATCCAAGCGTTGAGATGTTGGACCTCACTGCTATCGGGATTGACGTTAAGGTTGAGATCCATTTCTGGTTAAAGTTTTTGGTAGTGTTCATTTTTTTTAGGGGTCAGTGTTCATTCTTGAAATACGTTTTTGAAAAGGGACATTAGTCAAAACTAATTAAAGGCATATATGATATTGATTTTTACCTTTTTCTTTAAGAGAAAGGCAGCTATAGCATTCAGCTCATGCATGCATCTAGAAAACCATTTATGACCTATTTGTTGTGGCCGGGAGTTTTAGTTGAGGCGGATGAGACTAGTTCTCGAAATGAACATCCTTATGGGTACAATCATCGTCGTTCATCTTAATTTATATTAGAAACGTACACAGTTCCCCTCCAAACCTTTTTGCTACATTTTGAGTGCATCCTCACCACACTGTATTATTGCTTCATTTAGCTGTTACTAGATAAAGAGCTTAATGCAGCAGAGGCGCCTGAAAAGGTTCATTTGTTACCAACAACAGGTATCCCTTTTTGAGGGAAGACAAAACAGAAAATGGTATAATTTATTACACAAAAATATTTTCTTTAGGATAACACTACAAGAAAACGGAATGTCCTTGACAGCCATACGATTTCTTTGGCGGTCGAAAATGAGCTACCAAGATTATCCCCAATATCTTACCCATAAGTTAATTAACTGGGGTTCACTCCACAGGGAGAGATTATCCCCAAACCTGGGTGTTTCAAGCTAGGTGGTGAGCAACAGAAAATAAAATGTGTTGCTGTTCATCGTCGTGTCCTACATTAGATTAATAGGAGCTAACATGCATGGACGAATGATAAAAAGCAAAAGTCGTTGGTTGTTACAGGTAAGACAGACAACAATGCTCGGTGTACTCAGCCTTTCCTTTACAACATCTCTTCTTTTTAGTGCATCTCAGCAGCCACACACGACCTTTTGGAGGTAAACTAATATATAGCTTGCAACAAATTAATTAGCAATGCAAGTAAAGCTAGTTAGCGTCATTGGACGCATGTATATATATCAGAGGCCACGTCATTTTACTTCTTTGGTAGACATTAATCCCATCAGCTAGTTTGGTGTACACATTACATGTGTTCTGTTGCTACCTTTTCTTCTGTTTAAAGTTGCATGCGCTCCAGTAATTAAAGGCCTAAAGGGTTGAATTTGGGATCACTATTAGAAGAAAAGGGTGGCAAAGAAAGGAGGAGCAATCCATTTCTCAGCTTTTAGTTATATAGGTTGAGTGACTTGAGTCAAGCCCTCCCAGAAAGGAAGTAGGAAAGTATGGAAAATTACAAATTCGCAGGCTGCATCAGTGAGCTGGCCTGGGGAGCAAGGACCAGAAATTGTGGGCTAGTGGAGGATCTTTGACATGCACCATTAATTAATCTATATAGTATAGGATACTAACAAAATAA